GAGGAACAATTGACAAAGACCAGGTAACAAACACTGTTTTCAATTATCTCGACTATTAAGTGTCAGCTTTATTGATGTCCTGAATAATCGCATTTAACTCATTAAAAGCCATAAAAGATTTGAATGAGAGTATTATTGTTTCTATTTTCTGGAGGTTTTAATATTAAAGATAATTTCTTTTTTGCTGATTTTATATTAAAATAATGTTAGATTAGGTTGTATTTTGAAAATATTCTATATAAAATTATTTTAGATTATTTTTTTCTTTGAAGAATATAATGCAAAAATACACATTTTAATATAAAAATCCTGATTTTGTATTTGTAATTTACTGATATCAAAATATTATTCTCTGCTATATTTGGGAAATATTTATTATACATACAATATAAAATTATTTTTTTTTGAAGAATTTAATGAGATGGTGCATACTTCAATTCAAAATGTTTGCTCCACCGATGAGACGATTGGCCATTTAACGAGTTAAATGATTTATATCTTTCTCGCGGCTGTAAAGATTAAAAAAAAATTATTTCTGACAACGTTTATGCAGCTTGGGTTGGTTGCGATTACTGCATCAGTGCTTATCGGTGAGCACACTGAACAGCGATTTGGCCGCCGAAGTGCTTAATTCCGCGGCTTCGGTCGAAGGCCTGGTCGAGGCATGCTGCAATCTCCTGTTACTCCCAGCACCGTCTCTCTTTACTCCCAACTTGGAGAGGGTTCTATTACAACTTGGCTTACACTCTCGAGAGCTTGGACTCCGTCTCATTGGTCTCTTACTCAACAACAGGTCTACCCCTTTCTTCCAAGGTATTGCTTCGTTCTCTGTTTTCTGCAAACAAAATCAGAGATGGCCTTAGACATCGATTAGACTTTACGCGACCATCTTGAGCGCCTTGCATTTCAAGAGAAACTGCATTTTCAATATCAGTTAAACTCTACGTAAGTAAAACATTTTGTGAATGGCAAAAGAAAAACGATTCTCCCCTTCCTCTTTCTCTCTCTTTTTATTTCCCTACATTATATTTATAACCGAAACGTAATTTAAACGGTTAGATTTATTTAGAAAATATGGTTGTAATAAAAGTTATACATACTGAACAATTTATCATTTTAGTAGATTAAATAATTTTCTGAAAATAAGATTGAACAAGGCTCTGTGATAATGTAAAAAATAAATTATAACAAAGATCTTGAGAGTTGTAGCTAGATATTAGTGCCGAAATATATTTGCAAAAATTATTAACCATTAATAAGTGGTTTGATGACAGGCCGAAACATTTGTTAATAATTTTTGCAAATATATTTTGACATCAACATCTATTGACTCTTAAGTTCTTTATTTTGTTATTTCCGAAAATAACTTTCAATATTTGTGAGTGAATAGTTTAATAATATTTGATTTATCTACTTTTTCTTCTACACACACAAACTGGCTTACACCACTTTTTGCCATTCAATCTTTCATATAATAAATAATAATTTTATTAATATTTCAATGAAAAAAAAATATCTGTTGCTTGCGGAATTTTGCGAAGATCTAAGGCTGCCTCTATATGAAATATTTGGTATAGTGATCTTTTTTCTTAAGTTTATGAGATTTTCACGGCAACATTTAAAACGCTGATATATTAATACTTGACAGGAGCCGTGACTTCTCAGGAAACGTCCATAGTACAATTAGTGATTGAATTGCTTCAACAACTGTGCTCCATTCGGGACTCCAGCACGGAAGCTCGCATGAAGGCCGTTCTTGCATGGCTGCAGGCATCGGCCGTGAATGGAATTTCGAACACAGGCAGCAACCCCAATTCCATGAATCCGCCAGCTGTGTACATTCACTGCGTATCTTCGATCATCTGGAAGACTCATCAACAGCAGAACCACAATTATGATCTGCAAGTCCTACTGACGGACGAAATGTTCTAGTACGATTCTTTAGTCACATATGCTTTATATTCGACAACTCATATTTCACTTTAAAATAATCCTTTCATAATTTATATTTTGCTTTATAATTTATGTTCTTTCTATTCGAGTTTGTAGCCTAAATTGATTTCCGCAGTGCATAAATATCATTTTCGGAATGGTTTTGAGCTTCTTTTTTTGCAGCAAATTTAGATGTTATAAATGATAACAGAAATTCATTATTTTTAAATTATTTTTCAGATTATTCAAATTTTAAGTTAAAAAATTATTTTATTTGTTTCAAAATTATTGAGTTGTGTGATAAATAATTTCAGATTTTTCAAATAAATCTGTTTACTTTTTTGTCAGAAAAAGCGTAGTTTGATTAACACATAAATTAAATATTTAAAAAATTCTTTTTATAATTAAATATTTGTTTATCGAAGTTATAATCAAGTTTTGCTTGTATCACGTTTTTTTAAGCATGCTGCGTAAAAAAACAAGAACACCGTCTATTAGAAAATCAGAAATTACTTATTACATAACCCAATACATAAAACTATTTAATGCATTGTTATTGCTATTTGAAATTTATCACTATGCTATTATCTGAAATTAATCCAGAATGTTTATTAAACAGCTCATTGTACAAATGGACTCAAACTCTCGGAAACAACTCGACCTTGAAGCAAGCGATTGACTCTGTACTGTGCGCTTTTTGCTACGTGAGACCGTCGTTGTTCGGTTTGCTTTTGGAGTGGGTGTTGACCTTAGCAGCCAATGCCACCGCGAATCCGTCTATGTCTATGTTCGACGATCGTAAAAAGAACGAGGATCGTACGGACGATAAGAAGAGCGGAATTAATGCCAAAGGGTGGTATTATCAGTTTAAGCTGCTGGAACACGAACGATTACATTTAACAGAAGAACAGCTACTGACTGTTGCCGCGGCGGCGCGTTCTCCACCTGGTATTCAACAATTAATTGATTGCGGTCTTCCCGCCTTGCTGACGGATTCAATCACAGGTGAAATTCTTTACTTTGCGTCAAGTGCATAAAGCTTGCCTCTTTTAGACAATCCACACAAATTGTAAAGTTTCCGTAATTTCAAAAAATCGAAAATTTAAGTTAGAAATAATTGAGATTTTTAAGCGAACTTGTTAGATTTATTAACGATAACATGTTTTGATCTCTTCAGAATTTTGTAACTTGGAGAAATCCAAACAGCGAAATAATAGAATGGCGTCGGGCGACAATAACGAAAGTAACGCATCTGAAGACGTTAGCCCGACTGACGGCGATCCGAAGGCAGCAGATACAAGTTCCGGATCAAACAATTATTCTGGTAAATATATATCTTGATAATTGAGGCTATTTCTGAATTCGTATCTTCGAAAAATTGGTGTTGCGAAGCTGCGTAACATGATATCTATTTTATTTTTAAACGTAGATTTAAGACAATGTTGCGCAAGATATATACGAATTGTTTTTTTCTTTTCCAGATCGACTAAACATGACAAAACCAGAAAATATAGCAATAGTGATTGAATTTTTAACGCTCGTATGTTCGGAAGGAAGAATGCGCGACTGGCTTGGTACAGAAGGTCGTGATTTCTGGTTACCCCTTCTGTCGCTTCTTAGTAATCGTCCTATCGAAAGCCCATCCGCATCCGCGTCAAGGTATTTACATTTATATACAAGGTGTTTATTACTTGAAAACCTAAAACTCACAAAATAATTTCTCTCGCTTGGAGAAATCAGAAATTTGTACTTTTGTGATCGACCAAATTGTCTCTGAATTTTGTTGAAATTTAATATTCGAAACTTAGTGACTCTTTCTTTATGCGTAGAAAAGATTAAAAGACTCATGCAATAAACAAACTTATTCGAAATTTGCATATAAAAATGCTTTAATTCTGTCTGAAACTTTGATAAAAAATGTCTGAAAAATTATGATATTTTTTTTCCAAAGTTTTAATGAACATTCTGATGTAATTCACCTCAGATATACCTCAGAAGAAACAATATCTTAGAGATGACAATGTTGTATGACGTAAATAATGTAAGACCAGCGATGCTTGTGAATTCAGTTTTTATTACCAAGGCGCAATAATATTGTTATCCATTTGCTTTTAACTATGTATTATTGTTTATTTGTGTCTTCTAGATGACAATTATTTAATATCTATACTCACTCATTTGTTTCGCAATTATAGTTGTTCGAAGATAAGCACGTCATATGCAACGTTGGAAAGTGCTATGATTAAATTCTTGTCGAGATGTTGCTGGTGCCATTTGGCCAATCAAAAGCTGCTAGCGAAACTTTTGACTGAAGTCATTTCTCAACAACGAACTACTTCTAGTAAGTATACTTGAAAATGGCACGATTCTCTATTGAATGTCGTTTGAGTGGTTTCAAATTCTTTTTCCCTCGTCGATAACATTATTACGATGAACGAATTAATTCAGCGAAATCGATTTTCGTTGAGTAATATATATTATTTTGCATCTAGATGTACGATATTTCCACGGCATATCCGGATTCACACGGAGATTAATTCTGCAATTGCTCTTGGAGGGTGAAAAAGTATTGGTTTCCGTAACGTCGGAAGCTCCTATGAAAGTTTCAGCAACTGCTGCCAATCACAGCATGCCGTCTATGCCGCCGCACCCTGCTCATCCGCTTGGTCACTATCATCAGTTATTATACATGTCGACGCAGGCAACGGTGGCGGATATATTGCAGCAAGTGTCGGGTATGTTTGTTTTTATAACAATACAGATTTGTCTTTGTAGAAACTTTTTTTTGGATGTCTGCTCATGAAATTTGTCTACTAAAAGTAATGCTTTCTATAAGCACGCATTTGTGTTCAATTGGAAAAGAATAATAATTATAACAAAAAATAAAGTACTGAAGAAAGACTCATAGAAGATTTAAGGCTGTAAAAGAGAAAGTTCACTGCTGCAATTTGTATATTGCGGACATAGACAAAGAGGAATGAGGGAAATAGAGTATATCGTTTTCTAATAACAAAATATATCTAGATCTATGTTAAAAATCATTAAAAGAATATTATTTAGTATTATTTGGTGGATAGGACAAGATGCTTTAGAATAATAAATGCATTTTGCAAAAGTGAAGGGAGAATGGTGTGATTTAGTATTTATTTATTTATTTTGTATATATACATATGCCAAAATGTCGAGGCTGTTACAGTTTTCGATCAGATTTAAAATTCACCAATCAGCTTGTTAAAATTTCGCGCGCTCAGGAACATTGCATATCGAAAGGGTCCGAATTGACGAATTTCGGGATGACAATAGTAATTGTAGCAATTGTAGCAAAGCAATCGTGTGAAACGTGCCACTGACAAATGTTTCTTATATAATGAGAGAGAAAATTAATATCGGTACGAAGTATGGTCTGCTGCATGAAAAAAAGCGAATATTTTGTTCATGTCTTAACTTAAAAAAAATTTAAGAAACTACTATCATAAATTATTTTTTAATTAAAGCGTGAAATTATTATCTTTGTCCGATTAAATTTTATTATCAAAGAAAGAATGCCAAAAATAATTGTTTGGATTCCAATTTTTAAGGAACATGGCTTCTCTTATTACCTCCGAACACGTATAAAGGTAACGAAAACAGTTCCAATGGAAATAACCGTTCTCGCGAGCTGTGGGAATCCGGAATGGCGCTAGTAGTGGACACTCTCAGTGTGGCTGCCGGAAACACGGCGAAAGACAAGCGAGCTAAAGAAGCGTCGAATAGATCGCAAGCTCGCGGTCCTATTATCCGTAAAACGCGTTTGAATTCTGGTACGTTTGCCATTAGATCTTCATCGAGTCTTTACAGGCTCATTTTTACAGTAAGAATGATTAATTTTTCTTTGTAGACGGAACGCCAGTAGTCAAAGTCACTAACGTGCAAGCGAATTCAACGAACACGACGAATCAGCAGTATCTAATACATTCGTCTTATCCGAATACTCCTCTGCCATCTCAACTTACGATCGCTCAGCTTCTGGCGATCGCCGAGGACAGCGGCGTCTCGTTGTCCGAGCCGTGCTTACATTTGATCTTACGCCAGCGCAATAAGGACTCTAAAGGTATTTCATCCATTTTTCTTGCTGTCCGTTTAATGCGAGCAATGTTCGGTGAGACAAAAAGTGAGATGTCTCTTTATATACGAACGACGCTATATTGTTTTCCCTTTCAGCGCAACATTTAAATGCTAGTTTTTTTTTTTTACTTTAAGTTAAAATATTCGAAAAATAATTGAGTGACGATACGTAGAAATGTAAGGAGCTGATGCGAGCATTTGTTTGTACGCGCTCATTTGTTTGCAGAAGACGCGGCGAAACAGAGCGACAGCGAGCTATTAAACTACAGAAGCATAGAGAGCTCATTGGGCGTGTTCAGCGCTGGTGGTGGATTGGCAGTCCTGGCGCGTCATTTGCCATTGGTGTATCCAGATCCCGGCAGGCCGTCGTTCCCCGTCGAGATATCACCGTCGCTGGAGCAAATGGACGCCGACTGGGTGAAGCTGGAGCCCAACGAGGATATTTACGACGCCCTGATGGACGGTAGAATAGATTGCACGCCGAAAACGTCAGTTCCGGCGCCGTATGTGCCGCCGCATTCCCTCGCAGCTTTTGGTCTGTTTCTGCGACTGCCGGGCTACGCCGAGGTGCTGCTAAGAGACAAGAAGCGGGCGCAGTGCCTGCTACGACTCGCCCTTGGCGTCTCGGACGACGGTGAGGGCGGTGAAGTGCTAACCTCACCGTTGGCTGCTTCGTTGCCGACCTTACCGTTCCAAGTACTGAAGCAATTGCTGGACGCCACGCCGCCGACCACCGACGACGGCCTGCTCCTCCGAGGGACGACCATAGAAGTAGGCGCCATGTTGCTGCTGCTCAACTGCCTGGCGATATTCACGCACCAAACCGGACAGAACGATGGCTCGGCCGAGCACAAGACGGGTCAGAGTGGCAGCAGTAATGGCGGACGTAGCGATGACAACTCGCATCTCTATTGGGCGAAGGGCACCGGTTTTGGCACGGGATCCACGCAGCAATCTTGGAACGTCGAGCAGGCTCTGTTGCGCCAGCGATGCGAGGACGAGCATGTGACGGTGTTGCTGCAAGTGCTCGCCAGTTACATCGGTGCATCGGGCGGCAGTGGGCAACCGCAACGGGAATTGCCCGCTCCGTTTCCCGATTTGTTAGCGCGTTCCTGTCTAGTACCAGCGTTGTCGTCATACCTGCGGAATGACTCTGTTTTGGATATGGCCAGACACATTCCTCTGTATCGCGCGGTCCTGCAACTGCTACGCGCTATGGCTCTCTCCAGCCAACTGGCGCCGCTCCTACTGCCGCGCGGCGGCCGATCTGGAGAGCCGTCCGTGGTGTCCCTCTTATCGAGCATGCGAGTCTGCGTGGACACGTATGTGAATAAAATAAACCGCACGAGGGGCAACAAGACGAACATGAAGGTGATCTCCAAGTACCCTGACGACACCGAGCAGGATGAAGGTCTGGCCACACTGATACCCGACATACAGGAGAGCGCGACTATAGTGCAAAATGCCACGTGTCGATTGTCCGGTATCAGCGAAGAGTTATCCGGATCGAGCCCGACGGCGCCAGAACTGCCGCTACGCTCGAGCCTTGAGCACCGATATTTGGAAGTGATGAAAAATCTCCAGTTTGGTGAGTTTTTTGTTAAAAATAAAATACAATTTATCGAGTAAATCAAGAAGAGATGAATAATTTGATCATGATTAGAAAATGACAAAGTTTTAAAAGTGATTAAATATTTTTTATCTAATGAGAGAATTTTATAATTTGTTTTATGTTTTTTAATTTTTTAATAGTTCCAATATTAATAAATATAAATTAGAGAGCAGCTCGGCATTACTTTGTTATTTTATTTTATTCGGTTTTTAATGTACACCATTTCAATCTAAAATAGCATAGATAAAAGAGATAGAATTAAGAAGAAGTTGAATTTAACGATATCAAAGTTAAAGGATTAGATTGTCACACACTGAAGAAAGTCACGTTTGACGACCGAAACGTTTATATTGTTAAAAATAAAAATTAGATAGCACGAAAATCTAGCATCGGCCTTCAAGTTTATGTTAAGATTCAAAATCTAAAATAAGCTTTCAATTCTTTGTACTCGTATAAAAAAGAATGATATTAGTAATTAATACTTAATATACATTGCAGATACCTACGAAATGATTACCGAAAATTCAGATGGCGGAGGCTATAAATTTGCCGTTTCGTATCACTTTGAATCGAATGTAAGGGCTGCCGGTGAGAGAAGTCATCCGACACGAGTGAAAAGATTAGCTCAAGAAGCCGTCACACTCTCAACAGCATTACCTTTGTCTTATAGCAGTAGCGTCTTTGTAAGATGCGACGCGGATAGATTGGACATCATGAAGGTATGTTATTTTTTCATGTGACGCTCTATTTAAACCTATTGCTCCGTTGACCACTACTTGTCTATTTTTATCATTAAGTATAACTATTGTGTAAACATTTATTTTGGCGATTTTAGATGTTTTTGTTAATTGTCTATTTGTAGACAATTATTTTTAAAGTGCAAATAAATGAATATATTATAATATTTTAATTAAAGGCTTGCAAAAACAAATACATTTAACTGAAAATTGAAAAACATACAAAATCCCATAATTGCTGCATCTTTTATTTTTTATTATAGTTTGTTAGATCAGTAGAATTATATTTTTAGTCAATTTTAAGTGGAATTTTAATTTCAAGCTTTTATTAAAAGATATACTATATTAAAAACTAAGAAAAAATTATAAATAATGGTCTTTCAGCTTTTTTTGCTAAAAGAAATTCTTTTCTAAATTCGCCAAAAGAAGCTGATAAAAAAATAAGATGCTTCGATATTAAAGGCTGCCCTAAATAAAAAACGAACGGAACAGCAGGGTTAACTAGAGTTAATTAACAGCTAATTAACTCTTAAGCATCAACATGTATTTCCATGACGTTAGTGTAAATAAAGTGCATTCAATATCACAATTATTATTATATTGTAATGTGAATACATTTTTTATTTCGTTGTTGCATGTTCAATAGTCAGCAAATGTTATCAAACTTTACAAGCGTAAAGAAATATTTGATTTTTCTCGACATTCACGTTGATGCTTAAGGATTAAAAAAAATCAGAACGTAACATATTCGCCGCAATGTGACATCAATGTATACGATTGTTAAAGGTACTCATAACGGGGCCAGCAGAAACGCCGTACGCAAACGGCTGTTTTGAATTTGACGTATACTTCCCTCCTGATTATCCTAATAGCCCAATGTTAATAAACTTAGAGACAACCGGTCGTCACACCGTGCGCTTTAATCCGAATTTATACAATGATGGAAAGGTCTGTCTCAGCGTGTTGAACACTTGGCACGGCCGGCCTGAGGAAAAATGGAACGCGCATACGAGTAGTTTTCTTCAGGTGAGAAAATTCTTCACATCTATTTTCTATTACGTAAATATACAAATTAGCGATTTTTTACTTCACATTCTGTCACGAATGATATAAATCGTCTAGTTTTAAGAACTTGAAAATTCGAATAGAAATACAAAATGATAATTGTGATGTTATTATTTGATTGAAAATAGGTCTTAGTATCGATACAATCGCTAATCCTAGTATCTGAGCCCTACTTCAACGAGCCTGGGTACGAACGCTCACGAGGCACATCGAGCGGTGCTCAATCTAGTCAAGAGTACAATGCGAATATTTGTCAGGCTACTGCCAAGTGGGCAATGCTCGATCAAATACGCAATCCTTGCCCGTGCTTCAAAGAGGTATGCTCTCCTTCTTGTATTCACTTGTTTTGATTTCTTTGATAAGCATTTTCTACGGATTTATTCCAATTGACAAAAATCTGTATGTAATATATGTACTAATGTTTTCAGCCAAACGAAATTATTACATTAACGTAATAATGATTAATCTACGATATGTGCAGAGTATTTACTACATCTAGAAAAGTTCAAAATTATTAGAGCACTTTATTGTAACTCTTCCGTGGAGTTTTCTTTGAAGATTTTGCTTTTATTTTATCATCGATCGATTAATCCTTCATTTTTTTATCAATTTGTACTAAGGTATTCAGTACTTTTTCTACTAATTTGATATTCGAAATTGTTCAGTTTTTAATTTTTTTTCTATGAATATAAGAAAATATTAAGAAACTTATACAATAACCCAATTTATTCTAAATTTGCATGTTTTATTTTTGTCTGAAATTTTAAATAAAAATGTGTGAAATTTTCTGAGAATTTTTCTCCAAAGTCTGAGAGATTCACTTGTGTGCTATATGTCATAAGAATGGATTCGTAGAGATTATATATGAAATAAAAAAATATCAAAGATTTTATAATATATTGCTTTTTGCATACGATTAAACTTTAGTTACTTTGCGACAGGTCATACATACGCACTTTTGGATAAAAAGACATGAGATTGTTGCACAATTAGAAGGATGGATAAGGGACATGGAAATGCACGGATCTGATCGTAGATCGGGTCGTACGATTTCTCTTAATGCGATGTCTTTGAGGGTAAGCATTGTTTTTGTTGAATATTGTTGAGTACATGTTTTTTAAATTTTTTATTTCCGTGCTGCGACAACGCTTGACGTCAGAAGCGAGAAATCTAAAATAAATGTTTCTAATGAAATATTCTTTTTGCATACCACACTACTGAAATTTCACAATATAATATAAGACATACTTTATGTTTTATTGTTTTACATTAGTAAATGTAATGTATAATTTAATGAATAGTTATGTTACAGCAAAAATGAACGTTATAACAATCTATCAAGACTTGCAGCTATTTATTAATCTATAAATCGGAAAGAGAGTGTGCGGTATATTTTGAGGATTTAAAACACTAATTTATTTTGAATAAGGTTTGCAAGATTTGTGAGAAAAAGTGTTTTATGGTTGCTCGCATCTAACGTCATAATTCAATATGACTGCGGCGAGAGATTTAGAGCCTTAAGATTTGTCATTTGTACAAATATACATCTACGGACATCTAAGTTGATCGTGTATCTTTTTTTATTTATAGAGACACTACAGGTTATTAAGGGAGGAACTGAATAAACTGCCAACCCCGAAAGGATTGGAGGATTTGGCCGAACCTCTCGCATCGCCAGGCTCACCGATCGAACTTTCAGGAACTCCAGGCACAACACCGAACACACCGTCGACAGTCGCGGCATCCGCGACTACCACAACGGCTAATCCTATTGCTACTAACACTACGGTTCCGATCAGCAACAGCAGTGCGAGTAGTCACGCACATCACGACATCGACACGGACGTCGAGATGGAAAAAATGGTTTCGAAAATGTGTGAATAGCTAAAGGATGTTAATAGACATTGTTGGACATTCTGAAAAGAGTCTATTGTTTGTGTTACGAGATGAACAAATAATGGACTGATATCAAGTGCATAGATAACCAGCGGCCGAGTTATCGATGATTTTAATCGTTAATAAAGCAAGCGGTAACGATTTCGGTCGAATACATAATGGCATATTGACGATAATGATTACAATGATAACAGAGAAAAATGTAGGTGAAGAAATAAAGTGTTGTGGAACGAGAAGGGACAAGTAAGAATTTGCGAGAGAAAGAGAGCGTGTGTGTGAGTGTATGAGAGGGGGGGAGAGAGAGAGAGGGAGAGAATGTGTGTAAGCGAGTGTGAGTAAAAATAGACCATGAAATGAAAGGAAGAAAGAAAGGACAAAAACAGATAAAGACAGAAAATAAGTAGCGCGAATGTAACAAACTCGTGCATAGTAGATACTTTTTATAGCCGCTGCTATAGTACGTGTACGCTGCATTCTACTACTTCATACTACCATAAGTACCGCAACTGTTATTCGATATTTATTATACATGTTCCTCGTTTATGTAGCGTATCTCAGAATTAATTGCACTTTTGTGCCAATTTTTGGATGTCGTGCTTGCTGTCGTTTCCTTGCTGCTCGCATCACAAAAGCGCTAATGCGGCGAGAGCAGTTTAATCCCACTTAATACTGAATATTATTAAAGGTTCTGTAGAAATATATTCTTTAAGTAATTTTTATGTAGATTTATATACAATATTTTGCTGATACGTTTTCTTTTCAAACGAATATTTATTTAGAGCTGAAACGCACTCTTTGTTAATGAAAAAAAAAAAAAGTATATACTGTCGATATTGTCGTTAATAATAAGCTTTCGCGCTCATGCTAAAATGCGAGTGGCAAAGAGGAAGCAATATGCGCTACATTGTTAGAGATCAGCTTAAAAGTGTAACTGGTTCTGAATTATGATGTAGAAAATATCTTTGCGTGCGCAATGCGAGCCAATCTTAACGACTTGTCACCTGAAAAATCGAGACGACGATCGTTAGATAACGTTTAATATAATAGTACGTGTTCTGTGTCGATTGAACGAAAACGTCTAAAATGATGTCTTGGAAAATGGAAGAAACAGTGAACGTAAAAACCAAGAATTGCTCTTTGTAATTGTAACAGCTACTTAGTACACGTAAATTTCATATGAATCGACCATATGAACGAATAAAGTCACATTGTTTTGAAATAATCTTCTATTTTTTTATCTATATTTATTTTTAGTTTAAAAATAAGGATCTTTTCATAAACTGAACTGGAAATGATAGAAGAAAATGAAACTATTTCATTCAGCAGCTACATAAAGTATAATAATCTAAGTTTATGTAATAGATGAAGTAATCAATATCTAACATTTTATTTGTACAGGCAGTGCATAATTTATGAAATATGTCTACAATTTTAGAATTTTTGTTGAATGTGTCTTTTTATTGGAAATATACAAAAGTATATTTTGTTTTATAGGCTATATTATTATCAGTATTTTTTATTTTGTCTTATGACAGTATAAAATATATTTTTATAAAATAATATAAAAAATATTTCTATTCTACTCTTATACACGAAAGAGATAGGACAAAGGCGTCACCAGATATATAAAGCCAGCATCCAATCTAGCCAATTACTAGAAATGCTGTGTGTTGTATGGTGCATTTTAGCAGTTTACTAGATCGCATGCAAATTGCTGCAATAAGTTGCATAGTCTGATGCAGGCTTAAGCTCTATGGTTGAATGCCACGATGTGACCTTGCATAAATTACGCATAAATTACGCATGCGCGCGAGAGATCTCTTTCTTCACATTTTCCATCGCTGAAAATGTGGTAAGGTAACCTATGATTTGTATTTTATATTTAAATAATATATAAAGTACCATTAATTACGACAATGTTTGTTAATTTTAGAAAGTAAAATTGAATCGGAAGGAAGAGGACATAAGAAATAGCATTGCGCTTTTGACGAAAGTTTATAATTAAACAAGAAGAGTATGACTTAACCTCTTCGATTACGCACTTCCACGTGGTACATTTACATGCTCTCAAGCAGTTTTACAAATTGTCAGTACTCTCAAGTTTGCGAAGATGGGCAAGTTAGGTCCTCGTCTAGGAAGCAGAAAGAAGGCAAAGCGATGGGCCAAAGGGCAGAGTTCCAGTTCCAACCCGGCGACCATGAAACACCGCGAACAGTCGACAAGTATGTTCTTCAAAGATCTTTCCGGTGCACCGGGTATTACGAAGGAAGATCTGAAGAAACATGACGCTATCCAAGGAATCCAGCCTCAGCTTGCGAAGCTCGACATTGACGAAGATCAGCCTGAAAGCACTATAGATGGGACAGTGAATACCTTCGACACATTTGCCACCAATTACAGTAATTGTTCCAATATTTCTTTCAATAACTTTCTCAGCCACTTTCAGTCAAGTTCGATCATACATAAGGAAATGCTGGCAGTACTATCAGCTGTCACAGAAATTATCAAGCAAAATGGCGGTAAGGAGAGCTCAACAGAATATTTTGCTGCACTGATGAGCACTTTGGAGACAGTGGAAGAGGATACTTCTGTGGCAGCAACATTGTCATTGCTTGGAATGAGTTTGAAAACAGTACCGAAGAGTGTGCTTAATGTGCAATTTGGTGCAACAAGCCAGGTTTTTCTTCAAATTCTATCAAAGTATGCTGTCACCGAGAACTTCCTCATTCTACGACACTGCATAGGTTGTTTATCGGTGCTGTTGAGAGCACAGGAGGCCGCTACCTGGGCTGATTCTTCAACAACACGAGTGTTGGATGCTATATTATCATTTACTGCTCACTCAAAACCAAAGGTGCGTAAATCTGCTCAGCACGCGATATGCGCTATTCTTAATGGCAGCGACGTAATGAAGACTGAAAAGCCACCGACGCATCATCCGGCTGCGGGGCAAATTGCGATGCACTGCATCGCGCAAATAAACGCTGCTTGTGATCCAGGATCACCGTTCAAGGTCACCGCGATTCTGCACAATCTCACACTGTTGAAAGACGTAATGCATCAGCTGCCCAAGTCGTATGTCAAAACCATCTGTGAGCATCTACTGAGTATCATGACGTTGAAGAATGCCCTAATAACGCTGTGTTGTTTGCAAACGCTGCACGGATTGTTCATCTCACGGCCGTCAGAGGCGACATTACCTCTGCAAAGGAACGTGGATATTATTAGAGCTCTTTACGACTATCAGCCACCCGTGACCGACACGCAGCCGATTTTGGCGTGGCTGGCGGTCATGCAGGAAGCTCACTGTAATCTGGCGCACGCATTCAGCTTGTGCTCAGCCTCCTCCAACGTTGTTCGTCCTCGTTCGATGTTGGACGACGATCTTATACCGAAGATCTTGCAAAAGTGCATCGAACTCTGGCTGTCCGACAAAGCGGAGGTCATCTCTGGCGCGTCGCATACTATCAAAATCATTATTCAGGAGTGCGTGGCGCCACTTTGCGAGAACGAGGAGCGAGTTAAGAGGCATAGTTTCGTCTTTACTCAGATTGTCTCGATGATGCACAAGGCGTTGAGTTATCAGTACCTCAAAGCCTGGCATCATGTTCTTCATCTTATAGCCTTGCTCTTTCAAACATTCGGCAAGTTACAGCTCCAGGGACTTCTGGATATCGTCAAGTCTCTAGGTGAATTGCGTGACTCTTACAACTTTGCGTACAACAACGACGTGGAATACGCAATCGGAGCGGCGATTCGAGCCATGGGGCCGCAGGCTGTATTGAACGTTCTCCCCCTACAAATCGACGACGATACGATAAATCTGAAACGGGGCTGGTTGATTCCGCTGTTGAAGGAATCTATAATCGGCGGCACAATCTCCCTCTTCAAGGACGTTTTACTGCCCATTGCTTTACAGTGCGAGGAGAAGTCGAAGGAACCAATAAACGGGAAGACGTACGAATTCCTGATACCGCAGATCTGGTCGATTCTACCGAGCATATGCAACAACGCTAGCGACGTGAAAGAGAATTTCCAGCATATCGCCAAGTTGTTGGGTCTAATTATCAGCGATCAGAAGAACCTGAGGTTACCCGTGATGGCTGCTCTGAGGAAACTGATCAGCAAAGCGACGCAGAACGCGCACACTGATGCCACCGCCGAGCTCGCCCGCTTCGCGAAGAACTATCTGCCGATTCTCTTCAATCTGTACACGACGCAACCGAACGGCACGGACGAGGAGGGACAACGTCTCGCTGCGCTCGACACGATCAAGACTTATATGACGATAACGAACAAAGAAATGGCGAATGAACTGTTCGAGCGAGCGTTGAGCAAGCTCGACGCGCCCGACTCGACGGATTTCTTCAAGGAGAGCATTGCCGATCTGATAAGAGTGCTGATCGGCTATACGGACGCCGACAAGCTGGCCAAGTATTACGACATGTGCGTGCCCGTTCTCAAGGACGAAACTAAGCAAAAGGAGCAGAAGAAGGCTTACCGATTTCTCGAGGAGATATGCACCGGCGACAAAGAGGTGTGCAGACAGTTCCTCGACGAGCACAGACGCAAGATTCAGAAGACGCTGATATTGTCGGCGACCAGCGTAAGCAAGACTAGTAGAGGAGCGCGTTTGAGGTGTCTGACGCATCTTGTGAAGATGCATCCGCAGCTCGAGAAGACCAAGTTCCTGGAGGCGATCGTGCCGGAGGCTGTACTGTGCATCAAGGATATGAATGAGAGATGTCGCACCTCGGCGTATCAGTTGATCAATGCGATTGTCGAGAAATTCCTCGACAATTTCGAACATCTCAGGGACTATATGAATATGCTGATGGTGGGCTTGGGTGGCGAGCAGAAGTACGTAAGCGCCACTTTGCTGGCTCTGGCCTCTGTCACATATCATTACCACACCTCCTTAAGCGCCGAGATCATTGAGGAGATCTTGCAGCACACCTGTACGATCATGACGAGTCCCACGAGGGAGATAGTGGAGTCCGCGTTATCCTACACGAAGGTGTACATTGGCGTAATGTCGTCCGCCGTGCTAGCTCCGAGCTTGTCATGCATAGTCAACGCTCTGTCGCAGATAAATGAGGATTGCAAGCGCCACTTTCGCCAAAAGATGCGCGACATCTTTACGAAATTGATCAGGAAGTTTGGCATTGGGCCGATATCAGGTATGGTGCCGGCCAAAGATGCGATCTTGCACAAAAGACTGAAGAACATCAATAAGATAGAGGACACAAAGAGGAAGAGGCGGGAACTCGAAAGGGCGAAGAAACTGGAGAATGACAATGATGAGGAATTTAACGCCAAGAGGAGGCCCAAGAGTATAGAAGAGATACTGGCCGACAGCGACGAAGAGTTTGACACTACGGAGACCGAGGAGCCGAAGAAGAATAAGAGAAAAACGCTGAAAAAGGACACGTGGATTCAAGAAAACGAGGAGAACATCGTCGATCTTATAGATCCTGCCGCCGCCAGAAATATCACAAGTGAGATTATGGAAAATTTTTGCATAGAGCTCTTAAATTGTGGTTTAACTGATTTTTTTGTCTAGAACGAAATGCAGAATTAGTTATATCTTATTTAAATATCATTTGTTCTGCACTTTTTTATTTTCGAAGGAGAAGTAATAGCGCATAATTATATATGTTTCAGCTACACAGCCAGGTGTCTCAAATATGAAGACTCTTGTGAAAAAAACAAAAGATTACGGCTTCAAGACTGCACCCGATGGTCGTCTGATCATTAGGGATGAGAATGAGAAGGATAGCGATACTGAAACAGGGAATAAGAAAAAGGGAAAAGTTTCCTTCCTTCGAAGCGATTCAGAAGACGATTACGGTAAGGTGTAATTAGTAATTGCTCTATTATGAATGCTTTGGAATGATGATATCATGATAATATCTGTACTCCCTACAGAAGACGAAGATAATGTATCGGTGACAAGCGCGAAGGCTGCTGACAGAAAACGTAAATATAATGAAAGTGTATCAGACGTTATGAGTTTAAAAAGTCAGTCAACGTCGAAGTATCAAGGTAATGAAGTTTTATATTTCAAAATCATTGACTTCAATTTTTTTAAACAAATATTCATTAATAATTGATATTTCATGTACAAAATGTTTTCAAAATATATCGTTGCCTTTATGCCAGAACCACGAATGTGCAATTTTAAAATTAAATTTATTTTAAAATTTAATTTGCTCTGAAAAATCAGATTCTTGTTTTATTGTAATTTCTTCAGGTTATTCAAGCACTGATTTACTATTGCTATCGCATTCGCGTTTCTGGCTAGAATCTTTCTCCAAAATTAGATAAGAAAATGACATTAGTGAAAAATTCGAAAATTGGCATAATTGGTTTTGACATAAGGGGGACGATATACTTATAAAGTTTAGCTACATATTAAAAAAAAACATTCTATCAATGAAAGTATGAACAAAGAATTAAAAAATTATGACAATTTTTTCAATCATAAAAATTATAACGATTTTTTCATTCATAAATAATATTAAAACAGTAACGGCAAACAATGTAGATCATTAGTATTTGTGATATTCTACTGTTAATTAATTATTCCGTTTTAACTTTTATTGTTAATTACAGCGGGTGGATCAGGTATTCACCGGCCACTTAAAACGAGAAAGGTAGAACGCGAACCTGGTTCGGAATACCGCGCAATAAAGGCTGGAGGAGATATTAAAAAGAAGGGCAAACCAGATCCTTACGCATATCTACCTTTGACGAGATCTGCATTGAACAAAAGGTGGAGAATATTTTTACTTTAGAGAAAAAATCCCGTATTTGTATAAAATTATTTATTAATACTATTTTTTCTAAATTATTGCCATTTTAACAAATCGTACATTTATTTTACAGAAAGAAGAAAAAGAATGCGGGTAAGTTCCGAAGTATCGTTTCTGGGACAAGAAAGGGCGCGCGTATAGGAATGAAAAATAAACGAAGAAAATATTAAAGATTAAATAACATGAATTTTACAAGGATCTATTTGTATATAGCACTTCTCTTTCATTGCATTGATACTTTATATCAGGGACATCCAGCCAGTCAATCGTAATCTAATGGTCAAACGTAATTTTTTGAAAAAAGGTTGGACAATGCTGCTTTATATAATATAAAATGTAAATTATCATCTACATATATTTATAAATTCTTCACAGACACAGCTATAATATTGAAAGAGTAAATAAATGTACGCATATACAGTGCAACGATAGCATTTATTCAGAAAGAAATGCCTCTTTATGAATAGAGATACTCCTGAATTTCATCTTATCAAATCTTTAATATAAAGTGTAATATAGAAACTGAGTTCATATTTAAAAAATTATGAAAAACTGCATAAACTTTTTTGGTTATCTGATATTAGCAGTAAATTTTGGATGTAGTTTTAATATTAGATGAGTCAATTCATCATAAGATACGCCTAATTTTATTGGCTTATCAAAAGTATTGTTAAGTATTGATTATCAGTACTGGCAATACTTTTAATGAATGAATAAAGTTAGGCGAATCTACGGGGATGACACTGCCGGCCAGGTTTTGTCGTTTGCTACATTTGTAGATTATGATAGTCTTCGGTCATATGTAGTGTAGTGTCACAAAACAGAGCAGGTGTTTTTCGTTTATTTCGCTGCGTTGCTTCGCTGATAGTTTAGCATGTCGAACTATGAGCGTTCCTTCGCTGACTACGCATTTTCACATGAATCGGCGGAGTGAGGAAACTTCGCCAGCAAAGTTTTTCGCTGCATGAAATTGTACCTTCCTTCATTTATTAGGAACATTAATCCGCGCCACCAACAGTTTGGTGGTGCATAAATCGACCCGCATCGTTTATTTGTACTACCGAAGAAAAATAAAAAAGTAAAATATTTTGAAAAATAAAATTAAAAAAAAATTTAAAAAGTAAAATATTTGAGTAGACTTCCGAAAAGTTATCACCTCCGATTTGGCTGATATTCAGCCTAAATACTTATTTTATCTAGTAAATAATATTCTCAAATGGATTTTTGGCGCAAATGCTCCCTCCGCCTTCCTCAAAGGTAAAACTATTTTTATTAATTATTTCAGAAAGTATTCATTGTACGGAAAAAATTGTCAAACAAAAAATGAAGCTCATAAAAAGCTCTACAAATAAGGTCTTATACATATTTTACTTAACTCCAATATTTTAGTCGTTATTATCAAAAAACTTGTAAAAACTTTCGTAGGAGGCTTGTTTGATCTGTGCTTAACATTATGGAACCAAAATATCCATCAAGTAAAAAGAGACTCGTAAGAGACTTCTAAATAATCAGAAAAAAACTTTCAAGGAAACTACGAGGGCTGTATGATAAGTACCCGTGTTTAACGACAGAAAGCATCATTGACTCAAAGTCTGTATACCATCGTTTAACGTCATCTTTTAAACGACGCCAGTCAAAATTTCAAACAGATTTATCGAGTAGTTTTGTTTTGACAACTGTTAAAAGTGGACAAGATTATGTTTGTTTGCAACCATGGAAAAAGAGCAATATCGGTCAGTGATCGATTCCTTTTTTTGGATGGGAAGACGTGTGAGGAAATCAAAGTGAAGTTGCATGTCGTTTATAAGGATCATGCACCTTCGATGACTACCATCAGATATTGGTTCAATGAATTTAAGCGTGGCCGAACATCCGTTTTTGATGAAGAGCGCCCAGGTCGTCCGATTGAGGTGACTACGGAGGATATGGTCAACAAAATCCATGATATCGTGTTAGCAGACCGCCGGGTGAAGATCAGAGAGATTGCTGACATTGTAAACATCTCAATTGAACACGTACAAAATATCCTACACGAAAAATTGGGCATAAGAAAGCTATTGGCGAGATGGGTGCCGCGTTTGCTCACAGTGGAACAAAAACGGAATCGCATGACAACTTCGAAGCACTGTTTGGACATGTTTAAGCGCAATCCGAAAGAGTTTCTGCGGCGTTTCGTCACTGTTGACGAAACATGGATCCATCACTACGCGCCAGAAACGAAAGAACAGTCAAAACAGTGGATTTCACCTGGCGAACCTGCTCTAAAGAAGGCAAAAACGGTTCCATCGGCCGGAAAGATTATGGTCACCGTTTTTTGGGATTCGCGAGGCATTATTTTCACCGACTATTTGGAGAAGGGAAGGACAACAACCGATTTATTGGGCCGATTCGACGCTAAATTGAAAAGAAAACGGCCTCATTTGGCGAAGAAAAAAGTGCTCTTTCATCATGACAACGCACCAGCTCATTCGTCCGCAATCGCCACTGCAAAACTGGTCGAATTACGCTACGAATTGCTGTCTCATCCACCCTATTCTCCAGATTTGGCTCCCTGCGATTTCTATTTATTTCCAAACATGAAAAAATGGCTTGGCGGAAAGCGGTTCACGTCAAACGAGGAAATCATCGCCGAAACAGAGGCCTATTTTGCGGAGTTCGACAAATCATATTTTTTGGATGGTATAAAAATGTTGGAATATCGCTGGATTAAGTGTATCGAGCTGAAAGGAGACTATGTTGAAAAATAAGTAAAAAAATTTTTTTTAATGCGTTTTCTTCCCTAACACGGGTACTTATCATACAGCCCTCGTATACATTCTAATTTTCGACTCGTCTTTCTATCTTAAAAAAAAAGTTATTTCAGTTTAAAATGTTATCATAAAAAAATGATCACAGTGTACTATGGTTTATGTGGAGTTTATCCAAATATTTTGAACACAATACATTATTATATATAAGTTAGAAATTAAATAGTCGCGTGAACGCAATCGATGTATGCTGGTCGGAACTAGCGGATTTTCTGGGCGAACGGAGACATTCAAGGGACATGTAAAAGCATAGCGAAGCATAGGCAGTGTCACCCTCGTGGGCGAATCTTATGACGAATTGACTCATCTGGTACTAAAACTAAAATACTGACGATACTTTTGATGAATCAATCGAAACTTAATCTTACTTTGTTCTTTGCAATTTTTTTGCATTCTGTCCATCGAGTTTCTGCTTTTCTGATTTTCTTAAAACAGATAAGTACATTGATGTCTTTATTTTTCATAAGAATTTTAAGTTTATGATTCGTACAGTTTAATTCACATGGCAAAAATTTGGCTATCTCTATACTGTCTGTCTTCACTCTGTTTTTTCGATTTGTAATTTCTGTTGTGTTTCTCAAGTTATTATGTCTATTGTCATCTTACAAGGAGAGTATATCAGTTGGGAATAGGATTGCCAGGTGGCTGAGATTTCCGGAAAAGTCCCGGAATTCGTCGGTGATTCCGTGTCCAGTAATAGAAGCTTTCTGTCCCGGAAATGCATAATTTTAACAAAAAATAAGTGTACGCACGTGATTATGTAGCGCTCAAAAGTGTTTTGTGCAATTTTATACGCAGTACGCAAATTTGTCTAGTTAGACAGTGCATTTTGATTATCAGCAAATTTTTAGCTGTTCGTCGAGAGGCCAGGAATTTTCTTCTGATTGCTTACCCCGGCATTTTGCTTAGACTTGCCTTTGTTGCCTTTGAGGCGGGAACGTGACCGGGAGCGAGGCATGTCGCCCACATGGGAAAGTATCGGGAAGGATGCCGCACTTCGAAGCGATGAAAGCAGGCTTTCCTGCGAAGAAACCCGAGCCTGGCCTCTCGACGAACAGCTAAAAATTTGCTGATAATCAAAATACACTGTCTAACTAGACAAATTTGCATACTGCGTATAAAATTGCACAGAACACTTTTGAGCGCTATATAATTACGTGCGTACACTTTCACATGCAGCGCCAGACTCGCCCCGAAGTGAATGCATTAAAGGCGGTATTCATAGTCTGTTCTTATATTCAAGATCGTCTTAAGTGATTGTGTCTGACGAAGAGAGCAAATATAAGTCCCTACTTAAGACAATCTTGAATATAAGAACGGACTATGAATACCGGCCTAAATCCATCTATTATTGTTATTGTTTTGCACTTCTTCGCAGTGCTAGTGAGCTTTAGTTCCTCTATTAACTTCCATCACGCCACAAGTGTATTTTATACGATTTATGCCGAATTACGTTAGTTCCATGTGTAATTGTTGAATGTTTTAAAATAAAGAGATCAATGTATCTGTTTTATTCATTAAATTTTCAGATTAATGTATTTAAAAACGGTTTTTAAAACTTGATCCAGAATCCCATGAAGTACATACAGGTGACATTAGGATTGTGTTGAAAATAAACGGTTATATTTTTTCTTCTCAATTTCGGCGGTCACTTAACTGATTATATTCCGGTACTTAATTTCCGTTAATTTTATTTGAGTCGTTATACAAGTCGGTTTACGAGTGTCAGAATGGACGAGCTAAGCATTGAAGAAAAAGAGTTTCTTATCAACTCCTTCCGCAATACAGGCAAAAACTATACTGAGGCGTATCGTGCATTTTATAGTAAATATGGCAATAAAGTGTCAAGCAAATCTGTACTCAGAAGGTATGCTTCCTTCCTGGAATCGCGTCTTAATATCTAACCTACACCTAACACATGCTGATGATCTGAGATTTTACTCATTTTTTGATATATTGTATTTTCGCAGGGTTATTGATAATTATATTGAGAAAGGCATTCTGTATGATGGTACAGATGAACCCGGCCCATCTTGTACCGTTACACCGTGTAACTTACACGAAACAATTAATACGGTTAAAGCATATTTCAAAGAAAATCCAAATTCCTCGATTCGGAAAGCTGCTCGGGTTCTGGGTTTGAAGCGAGAAATTATCCGAAAGATTGGGAAAAATATGTATTAAACTACATCTATATAAAATCACTACAGTTACATCAGTTATTGACATAGAAAGCGATGGAGAAACGAATTTCAACACAATCCTTATGGTCACCTTTTAAATTAAGAGATTTGAAAAAATATAGAGGACACACAATATATTCAAGGGACACTTATTATATTCAAATATTGTTTCTAATGTATCAGCGCTATACATTGCCATATATGATATGTGAAATATATTGAAAATGTCAGGATTGTCTCGTTCAACGTTACCGGGCATAATTTAAGCGGTCTTCCTACTGTGACAGTCGAAAAATAAGGTAATTTTTCGGAATATTTTATAAAAATAGTATAAGACGTATCAATCTGAAACTTTGTAAATTTATTTAAACATTTTGTGAATATCCAGTATTTTTTTTTATTTAAAAATATTGATTTGCTTGTTTAAGATAGCGTGTATTTTACCGGAGTGCGTAAAAATATTTTTTGTTTACGGTAATCATAAAATCAGCTGTTATCCCAAACAGCACGCAAAAATGACAACATGCGGAAAAAGTTTCGATTTTTGCAAAAAAAAACCTCCAGTTTTTTAAGTTGCAAAAATTGAATTTTGCAAATATTAATTTAGTTGTAGTATGAGAAATAAAAAGACATTTACTGAACATATCTGTCAAGTTTGAAGTGAATCGGACAATCCGTTTTTGAGATATCGTAGTTAGATTGACTTGAAAAATGTTGTTTTGAAAAAAACGTGTTTAAAGTTTTACGATTTTCCGATTTCTACCTGCGCGCCGCTCCGCTTCAAAGCCTGTAATTTCGCCAATTTTTTGATTTTATATTTTATACTTTAGGATTATATTTTTATGATGTTAAACTGTAAGATGCAAAAAAAATTTTTTTTATTTTTTGAAAATGTCACAGTGGGAAGACTCCTTAATGAAACATCCTTTAGCCGAGATATATGCACTGAATCATCTGTCATTTTGGTAATTTTCTTTGGTAGTGTATTTAACGTGCCATCAACTATATAATATTTAGTTGATTTTTTTGACACAGATTTCTGTATTGTTGAAGTCTCAACCGATTAATCATTGTAATAAAACCTCTTTGTTTATTTAATTCTTTGTATTTTATTATATTAGTTTTATTATTTTATTAGTATTATTTTCGAGTAAAATAGGTAGGTATTTTACATTTTTGTTATTTTATTTACTTAATATTTCAATTCATTCATTTTTACTTATTACATTTTTCTTATAGTTTTATCGCAAACAATTTTGACTTACGAATGTAGAGATAAATATTAATAAAATTTTAATTTTTAATATAAATTATATTTCAGGTAATTAATTTTACTCAGAAACATGTTTTTATTTATAATTTTATGTTTTACATACTAAAAAGAAAAACATGAATTTTCGAGATTTTATAGGAATAAAAATATAGAAATTATGAAAGTATAGAGGTTCAAATATTTTTTTTCTATATCTTATATAATAACGTTTATCTCCTTTATTCTTATTTATAATCTTCAAATTTTTATTTCTCTTTTATTTCTTATTTACAATATACGTATAATACAATTAAGATCTCCTATATAGATCAATATAATATATAATAATTAACTATTTACTAACACCATCAACATGTTTTATCATAAGATTTCGAAAATTGCGCTTACAAAAAATCATATTTTTACAATATAATTAATTTTATATTAATAAGTAAATATTGACAATTATAATATATATTATATATACTGTTCGAAAGGAGTATTTAATTATCTTTGGTAATTTTATTAAGAACAAATTTTTCAACGAATATCGTTGTACTGGTTATAATCAAAAAGTTTAGGAATAAAGTTAATTAATAATTAAATTACAATAAGATCACAAATTATAGTGATATTCAAAATCTAATATGATCTAGAAATATGATTTTTTCAAATTTACATGGTTACTGTTCTTTTTACGTTATCGGTGGCTTATTATTATTACTATGGCTTATTATTAAATATTTTTCTTTTCACGACAATAAATATTGTTCCCTTGACATTCACACAGCCCTCTTTAAATTCTTTATATACTACTTAGAAATCTTGAACCCGATTATACTTTTACTATTCATTATTGTATTAAATGTTGCAATTGTTTTCAATCCCCTTTCGCCCAATTTTTGGCAAGATTTATTAACGCAATGCTAGATTAATGTCAAAACTTTGTTCCTGAACTTTTTGATTACATCTCGTATGAACATTTTTACTCATAACTTTTTTTTATCATTGCTCCTAATGCCCCGACCGTACACAATGGACACAGAATTTCAATGTTAGATGTGCACGAGAACATGTTGCCTAAATATTGTGATGTACACGGTAGAATTAACGACGGAGATATTAACAATTCAGTCTCCATCGTTGGAATAATCTCCGTTTTATAGATGGAAATTGGGAAGTGGTGTCCGCAGGTAAATACCATATTATCTTCTTCTGCCGTAAGCAAACGATTCACAGCATTTGAGTCCTGCAAATTTCATTGAATATACATATATATATGTATATTTAGTTATAATAAAATATTGATTTCTAGAGAATCGTGCATGAAATATTTTGTAGATCACATTAATTTTAAATAAAATATTACCTTAATATGAGCAAATAATCTGGAATTTTCCATCTCAGAGAACACCGTATTGATGATTCCTTTCATCATTTGTTCTGGGCTATTGTTTTTACCCGCGCCTGGATATCCGTTCAAAGGTGCGCCGTAATTGTCGGCCATTAAAGAAGAGAAAATTTTAACGTATTCGGGCATGATATCTTCTGCAATATAATTATTATTTGATAATTTATTTCAGAAATATTTTCGTAATTTAATGAAATATTCAAGTGACAACCTTTCTCTATATGCTGCATTAACATTGATAACACTTGAAGAGAGAATTTGATTGAAAATAAATCACTTGCACACCAATTATTGCTTCTATTGTCGCAGTTGTTCGCATCCAGGTATCTTTCTATCGCATTCTGACTGTAAAACATGACATCTTATTTCATTATTCAAACTACAGTAAAGTACTGGAAAATTTGCTTTTCTGCCGAATTAAAGTTTTAGTACGAAAATGAGTCAAATAGCTTAAAATGATTATTTTAAAAAATAAGCTATTGTTTGAAGTTTTTAATAACGTAACTTTTTGACTCATCTCCACACATATTCTATATCATTATAGATGTTGAATATATATTACTTCGTTTTCTAATAAGAACATTTAATAATTCATATATTGAGTTGTACAATAAGTAATTTCGGATTTTTAAATAAATCTGTTTACTGTCGGGCAAAACGTAGTTTAATCAATTTATTTGTCAAAATTGTAATCAAATTCTGCCCGTATCACGATTTTTTCACACTCCGTAAATGCGTGCTGCGTAAAACGCGATAACACCATTTATTGAAAAATATGAAATTACTTTATGCGCAATCCAATAGAATATAACACAGCCGAAAGAAATTTAGGCTTTCCAGATCGTGAGTTTCGGAATTTCTATATTTATAAATAAATGTATCGCATTCGAGATAAATGTAATTATTCAATTTTTATTAAAAGTCAGACAGAAAAGTTGCTGAATAAAATTGTAACAAGTGCAACGTCGACTTACCAAAATAGTAACAATCCAAGTGGGTAGTAAATAATATGTATGTGCTCGAGAAAAACATTTTCCAAGCTTTGTATCGGTAAATTGTGCTCGATCCAAAAACCAATTGTGCTTTGCAATAGTTTACATTTCAACGTGTCTGCTTCGTTGCTGATTTTATTCAAGTAAAACTTGAGCGCCTTGATGGATTCGTTAATTACGCAATTCCTTTGAGAACGTAAAGATACTTTGTCGGAAAACATAATCTTTTCCGCACACGCGCCACGCTGATCCGTCTGGCTATCATTGACATTTAACATGGTTTTCGCGCAAGTGGATCGAGTCAAATTTTGTACGGAGTTATGAGTTATATTCTTATACTGTAGCAGTGAATCGTTCTCGTTGCAAATCAGATTTTCAATCCATTCTCGTTGTTCGTCTTCGTTTACGTTATATTCGACATCCGAGCAATCCACATTAATATTCGAAGAAAGAGCTTTTTCGTTTTTTCGAGATTTACATAATTCTTCCGAACCACCTTGACAGTCGAAAGTATAAAATTCTTGTGCGAGCGCTTGCAAATTATTCAACGATCTACTTGTAGGAATTTTCATCCAGTTTCGTGCGACACTGTTTTCCAGAGATTCCATGAGATTTTTCTCCGCTTGTCTGTTGAATAGTTCAGTGTTTTTCTTGATATTCTGAGACAACGCAGAATTCCTCATCGTATCCACGTTTCGTGAAGTGATCTTAGTCGCGGATTCTGTCGTTTCCGACGTAGTGTTTGAATAATTTCCAGATGAAGACTGAAGACTTAATTTGTGTAACACCTTTAACTGATAAGTGAAAGCCATCAGAATGTTATCTTCTAACGCCGCTATTTTAGAACAAGCTTGATAATTTTCCAATTCGATACACTGCAACAGAGAAAATTGCGAAATTGCTTCGTAGCAATAAAAATATATTGTGTTGTGCAATAGTAATTTCGGAATTATAAAAATAAAAAAACTTATTGAAAAATTCGAAATTAGAGACAGAGAGTGCGAACAGACGTTACTTTCGGTGATTTTATTTTAAAAATAATCGAAGAATTAAAATATTGTACATAATCTTACTGCAATATACATAATTTCTAAAAATAGAATTAAAAATAGAATCTTACTACTACATTTACGATATCATATTGAACATTACATAGCGAGTAACATACCTTTTCCATAACGTCGGCGGAGTGATATAAACCGTAGAAATGCTCCAAAACGTAATCAAGTGTTAGTTCCCCGGGTGTTTTCTCAATGACGCTCAAAGGACGGATGAGTCCAGAAAGGGAAAACGTGTCATTGGACCGATAAGATATTATCGGTGCGGAAATACCGGGCACTTGACTAGGCACATCCAGAGCTATGTGTAATGCGTTTGGGAGTCGTACCAATCGCTTCGACGATTTCAACAGCACAAGCTTGTCATCGGCATCGCGCGTCTCTCTCGCAGGGATGCGACCTAATTGCGCTCTGCTATTGTTGCCCCAAGCTAATACTGTGCCTCCTAAAAAAATATATCACGTAGAGACAAAAGAAGCAAATATTAGAGATAGATAGATTAAGAAGATAATTAGAATATTATACATTTCACTGCAATTTTTTCAGTCTTGTAATTACACTCGAAGATGGTCGAATGATCGACTGTGAAACGTTCGAAATGTAAATTCAAGGATGTTTTTATAAATACACGGGTGATTTGACTCATAACATCCTGTCTGAACTTTAGAACCGTTTTTTCTCCGTTGCAATTTTAAATTTTCGAGCTTTATCCTATTTATTTATACTTTACTTCCTTATTGTACCTGGTTGAATCGCAACTGTGTAATCGTATCCGCAAGTAATGCCAATGGCGTTAATTACAGGATTAATTCTCTCTTTGTTAAGGCCGGTATTTTCTGTATGCGACGATCTCGGAGCATTAAGATTTCCGTTGTCTGCCGGTGAATCATTAGCATCGCTGTCCGAATCTCGTTGATTCTGTGTTCTTTTAAGATCACTGTGTCTAGGAGGTATTTGTGCAAAAATACAGGCTGAATTATAACACAGAGGCGTTGGAATTGGCACTTCCCGTCGCGTACCGTTACCTATTTGGCCGTCCAGATTACGACCCCATGTATACAAAGAACCGTCCTTCGTTATCAACGCATTATGATGACAACCAGCTGATATCTAAATGCGCACACAAATGACACCACAGTTACACACGCTTGATACAAATAATCGCACGTCTTATCTATTTTGTACAAAGTGTGCAGAATTTTCTTCTATTAGCGTCTCAAGTCGATATTTCCAAAAAAATTCTAAATTTAAAGGTATTAGATTGTGTAATAAGTAATTTCAATTTTCCAATAAATAATATTATTGCTTTTAAGCAGCGCGCTTTTACGCGATGTGAAAAAATTGTGATACGGACGACATTTGATTACAATTTCGACGAATAAATATTTAATTTACATCTTGATTAAACTGCGCTTTTCCCGACACAAAAGAGTAGATTTATTTTAAAAAATTGCACAACTCAATACGTATATAATGCTTCTTGTAATATTATTAGAATATCATAATTTAAGAATATACAATCTTATATAATTTTCGAACATTTAATATTTAGATCTTCAACAAACCTGAGTAATTTGTCCTTTAATCAAACTTGTATCGACCACAGATGGCTTTAAGTGCGCTTGATTCTCCTCGTTCAAATCAATGTTCATATTTTCCAAATCTGTCATTTCAGATGGTTTCTTTTGCATTTCTATATTGGAGGCGATTGTCTCTGTTTGTGTAGACTTAGCTTCTTCTTCCTCTACAAATTCTTTCGCTTCCTTGTTTGAATTTACAGTGCCACTGGAGATTTTCTCCGACTCTTCCCAAGTTTTATTCTTTCTCTCATCCTGTTGCTCCAATATACGAGTCTTCTTTTGTGCTTGCGCTTGTAATCTGAGAACTTGAGGACTTGCACCCCATGTATATAGTTTGTTTGTGTTACTGACAGCTAACTGTAAATAGCAAATACGTATGAAATTGCTGTTGTAACGTTAGACAAACGAGATCTGTTCACAAAAGATAAGAAATTTTCCGGAATGCTCTGTGTGCCAACAATAGATACTAAAATTGCAATCTATCTGAGTCTCACTGACACGATACGATTTGATCTATTTAATATGAGATAAATTATTCCAATGTAAATGAGAACGTGTGTCTGTTGATATAAACGTTAGAATGAGTTTTCTTTCAGTTTTATTTAAAAAAGTTAACAGAAAAAAGCTATAGAAATAAAAAAAAACCGCGAACGTCGTGGAACAAAAAATTTTATTACTGATTATATTTGATAACAAAATTTTTTGCGCCCCGCGCTTTGGTTCTTGTAGCCTTTTCTCTGTTAACTTTTTTTTTCTTGTTATAGAATCGTACGTCACTCTAAGAAAATTAATTTATCCCAACGCATATTAAATAAAACAAATTGTATTTAGTGAGATTCCAATGTTTGAAGTCAATTGGGATTTTACTGCCATGTATTGCCGTATCATTACATCTCGAAAAACCGATCTCCATTGTGATACGTGAAGTATATAATTCGTGGACTTACATTGTGAAAGTATGCGGTACTTATAAGCGTTATTCTGTCCGGCAATGATACTCTCATCGGGATAGAACTCTTGGTATTGCCGCCTACTCCTAATTGGCCGAGAACATTGCATCCAAAGGCGTAAACGACACCGTCCGCGGACAGCGCCAAAGTGTGCGCGTATCCAGCGCTGATGTGACACACAATTACACCGAGTAAAGCTGTGACCAGAGTCGGCGTGGCCTTCTCGTCGGTGTTGCCGTGGCCCAATTGACCGTGAACGCCCCAACCCCACGTGAATACTCTACCATCCGCGGTCAGCGCCACGGAGTGATACTGCCCGGCCACCGCGTCCACGATAATCTCCTGCGCGAGAGAAGTAACCAACTCTGGGCTCGAGCACTGCAGCACTTTGCCGAGACCTAACTGTCCAAATTGACTGGCTCCCCAAGCGTATATCCCGTTGTTGGTGACCGCTAGGGTATGGCAATGTCCACACGACACACTGAACACCTCTATCTCCATGCTTCGGAAGAAACACACAGCGTGCGGCGCTCCATATCGCAAAACGCTGGAGCCGGTTCCTGATCATCATTAATGTATAGAAAATTAAATATAAAAAAAAAGTAAATGCAAGATCAATTCAAGTTAAACTGCAAGCTGCTTCTGTGAAATTTATTCGTTTAAGTACAAAAGTTCTGTATTTGCACAAATAAACTTTATTATGCATTTACATTCAACTTATTTTGATCTTTTGCTTTTTTCTCTTGATATATGATATAAATCCTTCATATTTATTATATGATTTAAAGGTTTATAATTGTCATGCTTTAATGTGGAAATATACATACCTAAACAACCCTGCACTGAACTTCCCCAAGTATAGACGTTACCGTTTCTGACAAGAGCGACATGAGAAAATCCAGCGTTTAATAACCTTTTTTTGAAATCAACATGTAACGTCATTTCCGAGTGTTCCTATTTACGAATAAAAAATATACAATAATTTTGCAATAATTTTTAATAGTTTTGCAGAAATATATAGTTCGGTGAGTAAGAAACGAAATTGAACAATCAATGTATGTAATATCCTCTTCACAATGAAAAAAAATTACGCATTGTTTACGTCTCTTTTTTTTCATTCAAATATGCGTTTAAATATTTAAATTGCATAAATAACGCTTGCGTTATGTCTCTTATCCAAAATGTTTGTTATCTTGCATTAAGAAAGGGATATTATATTTTAGAGCTCAAAAAAATGATTTGTATTTTGGAGAACTTTTTTAGAAAAAATTATTAAAAAATTTTGTTTAAAGCTTTGAATTGTGCAATTTTTAATCATTAAAAACTTATTTGCTATAATCTCGCTTCTATTTACCAGACCTCATATATATTAAACATAAATTACCTTGCTTACTTCCGGCAATCGCACATCATATAACAGAGTAGGTTTGCAGTTGGGATTCAGTAATCGTTTTTTATGAATAAGAGTCAATAAAATTAATAAAAACATATCTATTATCTCTTCCACAAGTGTGTCCTGATCCTAAAATTTTTTCGTTATTTGAACAAAATATTCCAAAATCATTAAACGTTCATAATACTATTAATTTTTTGCTATTATTAACTAAAATAAATTTTTCCTTAACTAAAAAGTTAAGGAAAAAGTAGTCAGTAGACAATCAACTTTAATTGAGCTAATCTTGCTATATGCGCGAATTTGAGAACATCTTGTACGTCGCATGCGATAATTTGGTACTCACTATGTTATCCGTAATATCGGAAGAATCACACTGACTAGATTGTGAATTGTATGATGCCGTTCTATGGCGTACTTTACAGTGTATCAGTTTCGGTCGTAATATTGGATTTGTTGGATCGTACAATGTTACCAATCTCTGTAAAGTATGTCAAGATGTTAAGCGCAATTGTGGCACTTACAAAATCATTCAAAACTCAATTTTAATTTCTGAAGACATATCATTAATCTACAAGTACTTGCGTCAAATTAATTTGACCCAAATAATTGTTTTTCGTTTGTATCTTTTATCGTAAAGAAAAGTAAAAGCATCTAGTCTCACGTCTTCCATGTAAAATCCTACATTACTGAAAATTGCTGCTAGAACTCATTTATGATAGAAAAATTTGATAAAAAAAAAGGAAGAATAGAAAATGCATTCGTTATAATAAAATCATTTTCATACTAAGTTTCATTTAATTTATGACAAAACCGAAATACTTGTATTTAGATGAGTGAGTAAAAAAACCCGACAAGAATATTTATATAACGCAAATATTTAAGAATATTAATTTTGTGTGTAATCAATAAATGTTAAGATTTTCTCACCTGAAGTACAAAGATTTGGAAATCTCGCAGATTATTGCGTACAAACAACATATGAGATCTTGCTAAATCATGATTCAACAACATTGCTTGCATTAAATCAGATTCACTCAAGCATATAAGTAGACCATCTAAAATAAAAATTCATATTAAATTATATACATTACGTACAATGCCACGTTTGTTTATAATAATGTGAAAAACATGCGGTCATGTATATGTATACATTACATGATTTTGAATGAAAGTCGCTTGTGCCGAACATTTGTATCGCTTTCATGAGGATATCCAACATTTGCCCGTACAGACATCTTTGCGTAGCTAAGTGATGCGATACCTCCCAGAGGTAAGTTTGACCAGCTATATTAATTGCCAGCAATTCATCATAAAATGTATTTGTGGATAAGAAGTACCTAAAGACAAAAACTTTTCAGTCAAGATAGGATTATATGAAAGGTATGTTTCATATATAAGATTCTGTTTTAAAAAATCATCCACAAATTCATGACCGATAAATTTAACAAACAAAATAAATTCCATAAGATTATATTTAAAAAATGAATAATAATTGCGGAAGATCAGTAATATTGTCGAATCCTAAATTATAAGGGAAATATTTCAAAGTTCTCATTCTTAAAGATTTTAAAATCATCTAAACATCTTGTCAATACATGTGTTTAGATGCATCCAGATAATGGATGCCTCGTCCCAAATGTTTTGAAAATATGTATTGCAAAATGCAAGAAAAACTTACAAGAACTCCTTGTAAATTGCTTTAGATTGCTCTGACCAAACTCTCAGTGTCATCTCAATAAAAGCAAGTATACACAAATTGGATAAATGTATCCGCGTTGCGATAGGCATTTCAATAATGACAGGTGTTAATAAACAATGAGTTAGGCAACTTAATAATTCAGAGGTATGGCCAACCGATGCAAACTTTAATACACTCTTCAATAATTTAGACTGAAACAGAGATATTAGACAAAATTAATTTTGTATGTGATCAATAAATAAAAAAAAAAAGATGCTAATATTTCAGTAAAACTTTCACACAATACACAGCTTCTTATCACATAATAAATATATTTTATACATAAATAAAAAATAGAATACTTTTAAATAAATATAAATAAAACGTGTGTCTTCCTATCTCTTTCTAAATGTGATATATGTATTTTCATAAAATCTAAGAAAATAAAATCTTTAACTACCTTAGACATTTTATAAGACGTTACTGCACGTGAGAATTCTTTATTTGACAGAAATATATCACCAGCATATTCCAACAAATGCGATCCATTTAATCCGAAAATTGTTGCCAATTTTCCTGCCTTCTGCAACTCATTTTTCTTCAATACCAGCTCCATAAAAATTGATAACAGTGATTTTCTGTGAAACAACGTACAGAATAATTTAATAATTATATATAACTAAAATTAATTAAATTAATTAAATTATTTCAAAGCAAATTAGAACTAAATAAAAATAGATCAGAGTTAAAAGTATGAATACAAGAGACATTAAAGAAATAATACAATTTTGTGTTCAATAAACATAATATTTTGCGCATCATAATTTAAAAAAAAAGATACTGGTATTTTGACAACATAATTACAGAATTAGAAGAAAACTGCATTGGAAAATAAATTTTGAAAAATAATTTTGTTACATTGCTTTGTGAATATCTTTCTTCTATATCTTAAATAATAAAATTTAAAACTGACCTTAGAATAACTTCGTACACGCAGCGATTTGTAACAATTATACATGAATCCAAACTAGGTTCTTCGACTCTGATATCCTTTACGTTCTTTGGTAAGATACATTTATTCTCGATTTCTTGAGAGATCTTTCTCGACGTCGCATTATGGAACTTTGTTACTTTGTACACTGCTCGTATCACTTCCTTATTATTCTTAAAAGAAAAAGTCCCAATAATAGACTCGGAGTTAAATTTGCAGTCTTTATTTATATGAGCCTCAGACAATTGATCGGATACTATATGTATCATATCTTGATTAATATTGGTAATAAAAAAGAATCTGTGCGCTAGTAAAACAGTCTCACACGATTCAAATATTTGATGTACTGATAAGGGCAGTACAGTTAAATTCGCACCATGCACCTGAAACGAGAAATTATTTCATTTGTCACGAACCAATAAACTGCTATTACATTACAGCAATATAATACTTAACAATAAAATCAAAATGTATTTGAATTTAACTCTTATTCCCAATACAAATTAAAAAAAAAATAATAATTTGTAAAATATTTTTATTTTAAGTTTTTGATAATATAATTTTAAATATTTTTAGCATATTAAAAAGCATTGCTTTTCAGCTTTCAAAAGAATCATTACTTGAATAAAGGTATAGCTAAAGTTATGATATTCCAAATCAACTGTACTTCTTTAATTAAATTTGAATTAAAGATGTATGTGTTATATGTGAAAAAATGAACATCCTACATCTATTGATTACTTATTAAATTATAGTACTTTATCTTACTGTGATATGATTAGTAACAGGATGGTGGCACGTATATAATTGTCGGCCTTCCCTGTCATACTGTGAGGAGAGGAAAGTATCTTTTGGTATGGGTTCTGGATTAATAAAACCCAACTTGGATTCTGATATTTCCGAATTAACAGAAATTCCATTTTCTCTGTTACTCGCATCATCTGTAACATTAATAGATGTTTAATAAACAGAATGTTTAAATAAATATATGTCTAATAAAAGCAACCAATACTTATAAACATTTTTGCTTCTATCTACTAAAAGAATTTTCTTTCATTTTTATTCATATAAAATAATAAAGTCAAATGGTAAATTTAAGTTGTAAAAAAATGTGCTTCTACACTTACCATGGCATTGTGAACTTTCTCCCAATGTCTGATTTTTAGTTTCCATTAACTTTTGTTTAAGAAAAGTCAGTTTTTCGACAGAGAGCTGTTTAAGTTCTCGCAGTTTAGACTTATTAAGAACAGTACTTTCTGCATTATTATAAATAGAGCTATTTAAGTTTACATCGCCATGAGGATCTTTACTTCCAAAATTATGTAAAACATTGCATGTGTGCTGATTCAGTGGCAACCGCCATTGTTGTCGAAATTTACTAGTTATTAATAACGATGCACTCTCATTATTTTCACTCTGACAAATATGTAAACTATGTATACTTCCATTAACATGTGTTATGCCCATCTGTTGTCCATTTGAAAGATTTATAAATATAATTGCTCCACATTCAGTTCCTATAATACCAATATCAATGGATATTTTTATAGCTTTCCACCATGTAATAGCCATTGGCCTGAAAACATAAGAACATATTTTATAATTTTGTTATATTTACTTACAATAGAATGATATAAATATGTAAAATAAATAAATACTACATAAAATCTTTTATACTAAAAATTTTATAAATTTGTTAATCATAAATATTTTATGTAATTACCTAAAATTAGAGAGCTGAAGATTCATGAAAGGAATATATGTCACATCATTCATTTTCCATCTTTTGTCAATGATACAATTTTCACCAACTAGAGTTAAAGTGGGAAGTATATATAATGAACCATCTAAAGTTACACACAGCAACCAAGTGCCGCTTGAATCAAAGCAAAATGCAGCAATTTGTTTATGTGGCCCTTGAAACCAAGGTATTCTCTTAATGACAGGTAAACAAGAGGGTTCCCTTTTAAAATAAAGGATAATGTCGGCACTGCTGGTTGCCAGTGCAAGAAATAATTTTCTTTTAAGTTTACATTGCGCACTGTGCTGTATTTCCGTGGTTTTAATTAAACATTGCAATCTAAATAAATTCTCATTTGTCATCAGCACATTAGGAACCATTATGCGTGTGAGCAGCACTTTCTGCAATATTAAGTATATTTGACACAATTAATATTTACAAAATCATAGAGACAAATGTTATTTTTAAAAATGTAGAATATTTATGTCATACATGTATACAGATACACAACGCATATGCATATCAAGCGTGATGTTAAACATTTACGAGATACTTACATGATTTATTAGAACGCGAGCTATTATCGATATTATAATAATATCAAGAACTTAGAAAGACCATACACTAATACATTTTTTTACTACTACTGTCACTTTTTACTAAATGTCAAAATTTCAAGGTTAATAAGGTTGATGTAAATTTACGTCAGATACGTGATTGCCAGATACATGAGATTTGTTCTTTGCCGCTGCACTTTCTGCACTAGTGCAACAAGCGAGCGATATGACGACGTCGCCTTCGTTGCCGGCCGAGGTGGCTTGCGCATGTGTGCGGTACCTCCTCCATTCATGCTGCTTGCGTCTTGCGTCTCTTCTTGCTCTTTTTTTTAATGCCCGAAGCTAGCCAAAGTGTAGAGATCACATGTATGTACATACATACGTGGGTTGCGATTGTGTGTAACACATGCTGACATTAAAGAAAACAAAATTGGGAAAGATGTACGAGCGTAATGTGACGTATATTACGTTCGCATTATTTCTGATTTTATTTTGTGACACTACGTCGTCGGAATGCACACAGCTCGGTCCCTGCAGCTGTTCGTTGGTAGACGGCAGTTCGTACAATTTGATCAACCTCGCAGATGAAAAGTTGGTGAATCTCATGCAATTAACCTCTATCTGTCTATTCTTTAGCTATTCTCAGACTCCGTTTTGTTTCTACGTCATAAAGATATCCTCGATATCTACTATTATTCCATACTAGAAAAACAGAAAAATAAATCAAAAATTAATTTTTTTTACGAGAAAAAAGTGCTTATAAAAGATTAATTAAATAAGTATACAGATAATTTTGAGCATTATAAATTTTGTGTTAAAGTAATGTAAATTCTTGATGTTTGTTTAAATAATTTTTTTTTAAATTTAAATTATATGGAACTATGTGTGGCAATGTGTTTGTAGACTCTTGATATAAATGCAATTATATAATATAAACATTCTAATATATTATTTTATTCTGTCTTTTAAATACAATATTGTCTTTGACTTCAATGTTGACTTGCAGAAATAGATTTAATGTTTATTAAACAATATTTTTCATATTTCAGATGGCAAACTGACAGTAAACATAATTGGACAGTATACTTTAACCCATGCAAAAATGTAAAAATAAAGATAGATGCACAAACCACTTGTAATAATGGAACTGAATCATCGGTAAGATTTAACATACTTTTGTTGAGTTTAATCTTAGGAAAAATGTTTTTTAGTTACTCATTTACAAGCATTACTTATTATATATTGTTTTTGATATAATTGTTAATAGGAATATTATCTTTTATTATTGAATATTATAACTTTAAATATATTTTGATTTCTTAATAAGATTTATAATAGTTTTAGTGTCTGTTTATATAGAATAATACATTTTTTTATAATAATGATGATTAAAATTCTACATTATTAATTTTATACAAATCTATAATATGGTTAATTAGTACGACAGAAAAGTGAGCTGGATAAGAACAATGTATTTTCTTGTAGCTATGCGTATACAATAACCAAACACATACGTCAATAAATCTTGGAACAACAAATGACACACAAATGAAATTGTCGGATGGGAATAACACATTGCCAATTTTGAAAATACATCATGATAACATTACATCAATAATATATATCATATGCTTTTCTGAAAAAACATATTTCAAGATAGTTTCTCCGATTAACGTTAACTCTACGGAATATGTGAGTATAAAAATAACAATACTGGAAGCTGCTTAACATATTAAACAACTACATCCAGTTTAACTTTTATAACGGCTGCTCACACATTGGTTATGAATGTGTTAATACGTGATACCAAGATATATAATCATTGACAGTATGAATTACCTAATAATAATTTTGCAGAATTTTATTCTGGCATCGCCGTATGCATGTAAAATACCACCACACAAAGAGTTACCTAAAGGTTTGTCCGGCGGTTCCATCTTAGTTATCTTATTTTTCACCTTCGCCGGCATATACTTTATTGGTGGTATTGTGACATTGAAGTTACTGAGAGGTGCAACAGGCTGGGAAATGCTACCGAATCATGAATTCTGGTGTGATCTTCCTGCATTAGTCAGAGTAAGCAGCATACAATATTTTTGATAAAATAGCAATCGTTATTTTGAAATAATACAAAGATATAATTTAGATATGAGGTTTTCTATTAATTTAATAATTTAAAATATTAAGGAGTTGATTAGAGTCAAAACTAGGTTATGGTGCTCAATATTACTAATTATTAACTACTGTATAGATGTTTCGGCCATCTTCAGTGTACAACGCAGACAGTTACATAAAATACATAAACGCAGTATCTATATTGTCAAACGCAACGCAAATCAAATCATTTATCATATATTTTGATTTGCGTTGCATTTAACAATATAGATACTGCGTTATAAGTTTATGTATTTTAAGTAATTGTACATTGAAAATGGCCGAAACGTCTGTATGTTAATTAATAATTAGTAATGTTTGAATAATAATTAGTAATTAATAGTTAGCACTGTAACCTAGCTTCAGCTCTAATTAGCTCCTTAATATTTTAAATTATTAAATCATTATTTCACTTAAGAAGATTATCCTTCTGTTTTTCAGGATGGCGTGGTCTTTACCTTTAATTGTTGTCGAGCAGATAGTTACGAAAGAATATAAGAGAAATATGTCTTTCTTAAATAAGTTTTGTTTAGTATTTATTAAGTGAATGACTTTGTTACAATTTATTATAAATAGCCCGTTAATAGTTTAAATATTTTTTTTCGCACATTTTTCTCCGTACTATTACGTTTTTGTATATTTATGTAGTGGCCTATAATAGTTAAAAATGTATTTCTTCGTAAGATGTACATTGATTTGAAACATCAAATCGATCTTTGTACTAATACGTTTTAATACCGATACTTTTTTTGCTCGTGTACTTGCTAGCACAATTTGAAAGCATAAAATGTATATACACTGAAAAATGTGATATTCCATCGCGCTATGTCACGTGCCAATATTATTTTTTTAAGTTCTTAGCATTATAGACATTTCAACTTAAATTCATGCAAAATCAATCTGTGAACAACTATTGTTGCTGCGTACAATGATTACAAGTTGATGTCAAGACAACAATGACACAGCAAATTCATTGATTGTTTCGAATATCGGATACGTATTCGTAAAACGTTCTTATTGACGAACGAAAATCAACGGTAAAAGCGATAATTGTAAAAATCATGTGAACGTTTCATGTTTGTAGGATTACATATTTTGACATTGGAAGGGCCTTGACGCTAGAATTGGCCAATCTCATAAATATACTATTTTTCAGAAAACTTCCTATAAATATTATATTTTTTATAAACTTTTGACCAATATTATAAATATTAAACTTTGAACCAATATTAACAAATATACGAATTATAATCAGCCCTTTCTAACTGTTGTAATTTTAACTATTATAATTTAACTATTATAATTAATAATTATTATAATAACTAATATAGCGTAATAATAATTACAAATGCTATTATACTAATACATAGCTATTATAATAATTATAATTATAATAATTAAAATACTTATATATTATAATAATTATTATTCATAATAGTTATCGTTTTTATACAAGAGACTGTTTATTTATATGCAGGCACTTAGACCCTTCTAGTGTTAAGACTACAGAAACGAAAATGGTGATTTGATATAATTGTGATGTTTTATTAATAAATCTCTAATAATACAAAAATATAAATACTTATACAAACACGTTGTGTACACTTCTTTGTTATCTTTTTATGCGCGTGTGTGTATAAAAGTACTTGATGCTTAATGCATACTAACAACAAATATAAGAAACGCAAGAATATTTTAACTTTTATTTTATATAATTTCTTTTCTAAAATAAAAATAGTGTGGTACATATTAGTTTTATTGTTAGGCTTATGCAAAAATTTCTATCGCGCATTTAGATGTTTTGGGAGCATTGCTGAAGAGAGATTCGCAATCAACTAGAGCTTGCAAAAAGAATCAATGTTAATTAGAGCACCATGTTGCGACGTCTACATGCCTTAGAAAATATTCAAAAAACAGGAAAAAGAGATCTCACATAAATTGTCCGAGCGCACTATCACGAATTTACTCAACATTCCGCTTTTGGCTTCTCGTTCGTTATCGAAAGAAAGAATTTTTTCATATCGTATTGTGATAAAAAATAGATATACTACACAATCCTAAAAATGTGTAAAACTATGTGGGTAGATTCTAGAGACCCGATGTATTTTTTTTTTTGGTAGAATAATACGAGGTGCACATTATTATGAGCTCCAATTATGATAATGTACATACGATTAATGTAAAACGCTATTGTCAGCAATTGAGACGATGACAACAGGCAGTATACGAAAAGCGGCCGTATTTCGCGAGAGAACAAAACAAGGTCAATCTGACGTGACAACGCCAGACAGCATATTGTATCTTTGACCCGGAAAACTAGTTGAATGAAGCTGTCTTGAGGGAAGTCTTGTCTTATCCGGTGTACTCTTCAGACATCGCCTCCTCGGATGATCAATTGTTCCGGTCGATGAAGCACAGCTTGTCTGGTACAGACACTATCATGATTCTGAGAAAAGTCCGAAAATGGACCTACGCTTTTATCACATCTTTTATCGCGATACCTTTTGCATGATAGATAACAGTAGAAACTCTTTCGATTAGAATATTATACTCGTATTATTTTCAAGATAGAAATAAATAAAATTGACATAAAAGCGATAAAAACTTTTGCAGTTTTTTTCGGTTTTTTTTTCTAAGCTTTAATCAGATAATAAATAATGATTTTATGCGAGTAGGAGGTTTACGTAGTCAAAAGGATGATGCTTCTAGAGCAGCGCAAAGACTCCCCGCATATTTATATCAATCTTGCAATACTGGATTCTTTGTTTGGGCTTCTTCTTTCTTTTCAAAGCTCTCTTATTATCGGTCTCTTATTATCGCTCTCTTGTTTCATAATCAGATGCGCTCAAAAGCTCTCGATCTCGTCCACTTGGATCGAAACCTCCTGACTGGTTTGAATGATTACCCAGCTGCCGTTGGCATTCAAGTTGTGGATATTGATGCCTTTTAACGAGAACACATTCACAATGCTGGCGAGATCCTGCACTCTACTCGCGCGATAAAAGCTAACATAATCCCTGAGCGAGATGCCGTTTGTGAAGATAGCATCGTCCAAAGCGAGCAACAGCAATTGATCATCGCGTACGGTTCCTGTAATATACGCAGTGACATCAGTAATGTAATATTCAGCTAAAAATGTGTACTACACTATGCATATATTTTTCCAAATTTCTATGAATTAATACTTTTTTTATTTACCATTCTTTAAAGTTAGGATAGTGCCTTAAAAGTTCGCGAAATATTATGTGTAATTCAAGTGGATTGAAATAAACAAGTTATTACAAATTTCTGGAACGAAACCGTCTTATATCTTCAGATTTCTATTTTTTTTTACATTTTAAAATTTTTATATTTGTAATGTTGTACGAAACAAAATACTTTTGGTCTTTAAATAACTGTCAAGTTATCTTAAAGTACTAACTTTTTTCTTTAAAATGAGTTATCGTTTCTGTGATTTTTCCTATGATTTTTCTAAGTTGAATTATAAATAGTTTCTGAAGACACTTCCGTCGCTTAGTTTTTTAAATTAATACAAATAAAATTTGTACTTCTACAAATAAAAAGGCATCGAATAAGTGCACTTTTATCGAAATCTGAGATCAATAAAAAACTAAAATTATTATAAAAGTAATACATAAATTTAGATATAAGTGTATTTACTCCAATCCTGTTTTTCGGCAAATGGCCTGTACAAAAGGATCTATTCACATTAAGAGCAAAAAAGCAAAATGTAATACGACAGTTTTTTTTTAACCAATCAGAATTTGTATTGGCAGCAACTGTCAATGCAAATTCCAATTTACTCAAAAAAATTCCGCCGTTCTGTATTCTGTTTTTCTGCTTCCAGTGTGAAAAGTGTACAGCCTAAAAAGGTCCAGTTTTCGTCTGTTAAAACTTGAAAATAAACGTTTTTTGGATGTCCAAACAAATATTTAACAAATAACATTGGACGTCTTTTAAACGTCCTAAAAACGTCTGAAACTATAATCGTTTAAGTACGAAACGTTCAATGCACATATTTTTAATATGTTTCTAAAACGTCGTTATGTTTTTTTAGGATTGTAGAAGCTTTTCATAAAACATGTAAAAAAATTCTAGCATTTTTTGGCGAAAGGGCAAAAATCTATCAATTATATAAAAATTCTGAAAATAAAGTGCTAATTTCATAGAAATTTAGTTTTTCTGCTAGACAGTTTCTTCTTCATGACATTACCTTTGATGATGTGCTCTCCAACTTTCACAACGACCGCTCTATTGTCATCCTCGATGTGGCTCTCCTGCAACTCCACGCCGATGTCTTGCGCCAGGATAGGCGCGTTAACGAGATTCAAACCATTTTTCGTCTGACCAGTTAATATACCAACCAATACGGCTGTGTGTATGAATTGTTTATCCCGCATGCCGTTGCCCACGGTTTGGCTGTGAATTGTCGTGTTCAACTTGCCCTTGAGGAAGCGACCGGCCAATTGACCCAATTTCTTCGACAATTCTATCCAAGGTTCATTTTCGCTTGTCATAGCGGCAGACAAAACCGGGGCGTTTACGATGCCGGTAACCGCATATTCCGTCGATTTGCCGGACAGAGCCAGGAATTGCTGAGCTATTTCCAACGCCACTCGTTGTTGGGCTTCTGCCGTGCTGGCACCTGAACGTAATCAAATCAAAATAAATATTTACTCTCACTTTCGCAGCTTCACAGATTTCAAATTGTTTTTTATAAAATTTTTGTCAAATTTCAAAACTATTTCTACTATAATAACAAATTCTTTTTATTAAAAAGTAACATCAAATTAATTTCTGAGATTGAGAGAATTCTAATTAAAAACATTGACACTTGGCCAAATGATTAATATAATTTGATATAAATGAAACGAAATATTATGTACCGAGATGCGGCGTCGGAATGACTTTCGGATGTTTAATGAGCTCTAAGGTAATCGGATTTTTCGGCGGCTCCTCCACGAAGACATCCAAAGCTGCTCCGCCGCAATGGCCGGACTTCAATGAATTCAAGAGAGCTTCCTCATCAACAATGCCACCACGTGCGACATTAACGATGTATACTCCTTTCTTGCACTTTGCCAAGGTCGTCGCATTGACCAAATCTACAAGCAACGATTATGCGCATTCTTTACAAGTATAGACAGTACTCTCATTATTTATATCCTGCCACTTCTGTTAAAATTTTTTTATATTAAAAAGTTACTAAAATTTTTGTAAGAGCTTAACAGAGATTTTATGAAACAGGCTATCGACATTATAATTTTACATAAAAAATTAAAATTTTTATGTTTGTTGTTCTTTGATAATATTCTGCTTTGAATAAAAAAATTTTAATGTTAATATCAAACTTAAATGTGAATTTTAAACAAAGTTATTGATTTGAGTGTTTGAGGACGATTGGAAAACTTTCGATAAATAGAAAAAATATATTGAAATAACTATGCAATCCTTTCGATTTTAGTCGGCAAATCATTCGTCAGATTGATGGATTTATATCAGATTCGATTCGTACTTTTGGTTTGAGGTATCAGTGGTGTGTGAACGGTGATGTAGTCGGCTACAGGCCATATCTCCTCCAGTTCAAGTTTTCTGATGCCGAGCTCAGCGGCAACCTCGGATTTCAATATCGGGTCGAACGCGACGATATTCATACCGAAGCTCTGCATCCTGTGGGCTACCTCACGGCCTATGCGGCCCATTCCGAGGACCGCGAGCGTCTTTCCGGACAGCTCGTATCCGGAATACAGTTTTCGATCCCATCGGCCTTCCTTCAACGATTGCGCGGCTTGTGCGACATTGCGCGCGAGTGCGGAGATCAGGGCGCATGTAAGCTCGCAAGCACTTATGCTATTGCCGCCCGGAGTGCTGCAAAATAAAAAAGAAGCGATACAGCCAATGCGGCGGATAGCTTTGGCTTAATTGGAACAACTATGACATTCAATTCTATTTTATTGGATTTTTAACGTTCTTTTGCCATTAATTAATATAAATTTATTTCGCTAAATGAATTTTTAATTAATAAATAAATTAATTAAAAAAGTTTAATGAAAGAGAATTTCTGTACTGTATGATAAAATTCCAATAACGTTATTATTATTACGCATATTGAATTATTTTATATTAAAAAATGAAAAAAGGGAGGTGACTTCAAACAGTTTTTTACTATATTTTAAATAAAACGTAACATTTTACATTTTACACTCAAATCATGGCATTTGTATGAAAAATCAAAGTTTCTTGCTTGAAATTGACTAAAAGAGATTTGTTATTACATCTTGTACGCAGATTTATTTTATTCATTTATATTTTCTCTGCTTGTATCGTGGAAATGCTATAGGAATTTATATACATATACGTACTTCAATACTATGGCTCCTTTACGTGTGGCAGAACGTAGCTCTATGTTGTCAACGCCAGTACCAGCTCGCCCGACCACACGAAGATTCGGACAAGCGGCGAAAACGTCTGCCGTGACTTTGGTCTCAGATCGAACGATAAGCGCATCATGATTCTGTTTGACAGAAAAAAATATATTTTTATTTAAATAAGTATAATTACATTATAATATAAATAAAAATTTCATTCTTGAATTAGTAAAATAATTTATTAGTAATTGGATTAACAGATCTGTGTTTGAAAATCAGAACAGAGCTAAGTTTAAACTAACAACTTTAATTTTAATATATGTGTACGACCGTTGAAAAAAGTATCTAAAATAAATTGTTATTACTTTGCAACAAATGGATAAAATGAAATTAAGCGTTATTTTATAAAAGAAACTCATCAAAATCTTCAGAGTTATTTCGTCAATTCAAATAGAACATGATATAGAGTCACAAAACTTCTAGGATTCCACAAATTTCATATCCAATATTTGTTCCAAATTACTTGAAGCAGTTTATCCCTTTTTTACATTTCTTCGGAGCTTTTTCACGATTCGTCGCACAATCATATCGAATTTGTTAATCTAATTATTATAAAATCACTAATCAATTATTTATATATGTTCATATATAATGCATTTTGTTTAATAAATCTTTTTGAGTGTTTACTGCAAAAATAAGTTTTGGTTAAATAAATAACCCTGAGATTTATGTCCTTCAGTTTTCCATAATTAATATAAGAAAAAGTACATATATACCTTTCCGTATAGAACAAAAAGTTTATACAATTTTATATGAACATTTTCAACGTTAAAACACGTTGTATGACTTCCATATCACGTCTAAATGTCCAGATAAAGTGCATAAGTAGCACATAAAACGTTGACTTTCTAACATTACTTTCCATGAACATTTATCTCAACGTTGCAGGAATATCAAGTTCTATACGGGTTATCTATAATTATATGATTAAGTAATAATATGATTCAGTATTGCTAGTATTTTATTCGAGTAGTGAACTTGTTCAAACTGGTTGCTGAATTTACGCAAAGTCAGGAGAAATGTCTAATCAGCTAAAGCTTCAATATAATTATTCGCAAAAAAATGAAGAGATAAGGATAACATGTGGTTGCATAGGCGTCTATCAAAGTTATTTTCTTTCGAATTGAAACAAATTTTTCAACTACACGAAAACTTTAACACATAGTGTCGAAATAATATTATATAAAATATATTTAGATAGCAGTTTATATATAAATTAATATTTGTTATATAAAATTATTTGTAAATGTATTATCAGTACTATTAATGTGCTCGCAGTCGACAGAAATATAATAATGTTTTATAATGTTCGTTTGCTTCTTAAAAAAAAAATTAGAATAAGCACGTAAAAGTAAAAAGAGACTATAAGTATTCTGAGTTGTAAATAAAATTGTATCTTCTAGAATAGAAAAATCTTCTTTTTTGTCTTTGTTTATTTTTACCGCAAATTCTATCTTTTTTTTACGTCGAAAATATTTGAAAAATGATTTGGAAATCTTCAATTTCTCCTCAAACTGTTAAAGTCATATATAGAAATTTTTAGTAATTTACTTTTCTTTTTATAATCTTAGCCGGAAATAGCGTTGCATCAGATGCACTGTGACCGCAGCTGGGACATTAGATTCGTTTTAGTCGCATCTCTTTACATTTTTCGCAGTTAAAACCAAATGAGGGAAAGAGAAGAGAATCATTCGGGCTCTCTAAGGTGGAAAAAGCGAGGAAAGTTGAGCGCGGTGAGAGCATGGTCAAAATACAAAGAGGGAAATCTATTGAGAAATGCGAGAAGGCATAAAGCAGATCTCCTTGTACGGGTGCCCATGCGTGTGCTGCGTATGCGGAGCGAACCGGTGGTACAACGACCCGTCGCAGTTAACCAGTATTCTCACCAGTCGACTCAACTGGATATAACCGGATCGTCGGGCTCGAATGCAAGCAATTAAGAAGAGAAAGAACAAACAGAGAGGGAAAGAAAACGAGAGAGAGAGAGAGGAAAAAAGAGCATGACACGTCCCACACGATGGCTCTATACATATTATATGCTCGTAACGTTACATTAGATTGAGAATATCGCCTCGCCTCGCCTCGCCTCAAGATTTATTAGGGCTTTTTTTTTAAAGTGATATCGCAACCGCGGTTTCGCAGTCCCGAGCACGCACACAAGTCGGGCACAGCAAGTGTACGATCGAGTAAATTATTAGATAATACTTTTTTTGGCTAAAAATATTATATTCATTAAAAATATTTGCGTATGTTAAACTAATAACTGTACAAGTAATATTGATTCGCTGTTGTCGATAGAAAAATAAAAAATTGTTTTATAATTTGCATTTTGCAACAAAATGCAAATTTATCACTGTCCGTATTTGGTAACAACATGCGTAAAATTGCACTGCTTAAAAACAATAAACATCATTTATTGGAAGATACGAAATTACTTATTACACAGCTCGATACTTGCTTACTTTCAAGATATAGAGTTTGTGATAAAATTGTTATGCTACTCGTATGTTGCTATTATTTCATGCATGTGTGTTTCGATTGAGAGAGCAAACAAACCAGTTTACGCAGCTAACGAAATATATTCGACCGCATATTTTATTTTCTTCACAATTACTTGAGAAAAAGATAACAAAATATTTTGTCAATTTTTTTTAATATTTGCATGGTACGCGATGAATTGTCAATTTGTTTAAATGAAACAGAATTCTATCTCTGTGTAGGTTTAATCGGATTATCAATATCCGAATGTAGGCTATGGAAAAAACGACAATATTTGATTGAAAGGAGAAAATCAATTTAGGTAAACAAACGCGCACGCGAGAATAGCCTGTTCACGTATGATAAAATATAATTTTGATTTGCACTGCTTTTTCATTTGTCTCCTATGAAAATACATATTTATCTATTCGCAATTAAGAAAAAAAGAAGAATTTATTTGACTTATAAATTTGCGTTTAAAAAATATTTTTATATTCATTCAGATTTCTATTTTATTTTATGTGATATGTTTGTCTTGTACGATTTGTTTCGACGGGAATTTTTTTTATATCATAATTATCATAATTGAGTTTATTTTGCACATGTAAATTCCAACGTAATTTTATTTTGTCGAAAATTGATCTCTTCTCATCTGACTGATGTATTTTTCACATGATGGGTTGTGCAGCGATAATTTGATAAATCGTAATTGTTCTTAAAATTTTCGAATAAAATACATAATAATCCTAGTGATTAAATCATCATTGTCTATAATGTGATCCCCAAATTATGATATAAATCCTTCTATGACAATGGAATATCAATCCTTGAGATTTTAATTTTTGTTGAAAAAGAATTAATTTTAAATTGATCGAAGAATCTATCATTAAAGGACATTCACAAATTTTGAAGGAGATATTCTTTATAAAAGTTGGTTAAAGCTTAATTAATATCTAAAATGAAAAATGTAATGTGAGATACGATTATATTCCATTAAATTGACGTCCGTTATTTATCGTTTTATTTTTTAGTCAATAAAAATTGAAAACCTTATACAATGCAAATATGAATCAATAATAAATGTGCAAATATATCAATAGATTTTCCCTGAATATCGATAGAATATTCTTTCAGTCCTTGCAATTTAATAATTGTTAAAGCAACGCGGAAACAATAGCTAATAAATACAAAATATAAAGAACCGATACTTTTGATTGAGAACAATTAATATTACTTTGCAATTTCTAAATTGGATTTCTAAATTCAGAAATTCAAACTTAAATTTAAAAAAGAAGACATTTTAATTGTCGTTGAATTTAGCGTCTTAGAGTTGGAAAAAGAAATAGTCAAGTTAGTTTGCATTATCTTTGCTAAATCATGTTCTTTTAATTTAAAGACTCTTCCTCTTATCATATTTGCACAGCTTTTTTTAGTTTCTTTTACTTTTTATCAAAGTGTGTACCGTTGATGATATGCCAGTAATAAATTCAGGGATAAAATATGCTTTACTATAGATTCTCTAAGGCACAGAGTGGGAGGATGAGAGTATTCCCCAATCTATGCATTCTTACGCTTATCTAATCCGCCTACCTGCAACTCTCTGATTAATTCGTCCTTAGATAGCTTGTATTTTGTGGTAACCGGAATGCCATGTTCGGTCAGTAGTGCGCTGCAAGAGTCGTCTACGGGATCGCTGATGAGGATGCTTCTGAAGTTGACCGACATGTTATCCTTGAACAAAGGAGGAAGCTCTGAACAGTGTCAACTTGGATAAAGGAGAATTATTGAATATAAGCTAGCAGCAGTACGCAACATTCAATTGGATGTACATATTTTTGAATGTATATCGAACGCTATGTTTTATGTTTTATTCTACATATACATTTAATGTAACAAATTATTGTAATTTTTATATATTTATTGTTGAGAATTTGCGCCGTGATGTCAAGCTTCTAGAAATATGAAAAAAAATTTATGTCTATGAGCAAGCTTGTTGAGCACACATTTTAAGCCGTATATACGTGTGTTGCTTTCTCATTATGGAAGAAATTTACAGTTCGATTGACCGTTCAAAACTGGAAATCTTTAATCATACAAACGTACACTTGTGTCAACTTGTGATAAGCGAATATATTCTCTTATTTATCGAGACTAGATAGACTGATGTATTATGTACATTTTTTGTATCATCAAATATACAAGTTAAGTAATATCGACAATAAGTAATAACGTTGATTATTGTTTCTTAGATCGACTATATCATTAATCTAATTTTAATTAGTTTAAAGTGCGAATTAACATTTAAATAAGTTTTCAGAAACAATTTTAATTATTTCAAGTTAAAGATATTTTTAAAATGTTGGTCGTTTCTGGTTAAGTGTTGATATTTGATTTCGATAAGCGCTGATAACTGAACATAATCATGTGAATTTTTTTCAGATGTTTTGAGTGATAATTTTTTAGATATTTTAAAGATTGATATTTCTTCTGATTTCAGAAATATTGATAAATTATTATAAAATTACTTAATCATTGCTCTTTTGAATCAAATTTATGGCTTGTATTGATAGGCGTAATTTTTATAATTAATAATGTATTTTTAGTTTTATTAATTTTTATTATAATAAAAGAGAAATTGTGTTTTTTGTCTGCTTTTTATTAAGTTTTAATGTTAGATTCTTAATAATAAATTATCAATTAGTATTCTATTAAAATTTTCTTTGATTTCTAAATTAATGAAAAGTTTGTTCTGAATAATTTATATTATAAAATCATTAAGAACTCAATATTTTTGTTAACAAAACTTCAATCTAAATTTAACGCAAGACAGCAATATATTTATTTCGCATCAATTGTATGACAATTTGTACTTTTTGCTTTGGAAACAATATTCGTTCATTGTCAAGAATACTTATATTCATTGATCTATAGTTAAATGTGGATGCAATGGCAAAGCGGTGTAATTCACGGAAATTGCAGTACAGTAGAGTATAATCAATCATTGTTAAAGTCTGGTTTTTTCGTATAATGTCAAGCTTAATGAAGCACCATTTCAAGAAATAATATGAAAAATTACTGATTACCAGATCTAATATTCACGTTTGCAATAAAAACAGGACATTAGTGAAAGTTACATAAGTGAATAAATATATCGCTAGTCTCCAAAACACAAGTGTACAGTTTCTTCTTTATGCGATATATTTATTCATGCAAATACCGATAAAGGATAAACTTAGAAATACACAATTTGAACATTTTTCTGAGTTTGATAAATTAGATGTAAACAGATTTTTCTAGATCAAGAATATATTAATCTGCTTTATGCAGTTAACATCATATATTGACACGTCCATAAATTTACTTGACAATTGCTTGTTGAAATTTGATTTCACAAATTAAATGTAATCTTGTTTCAAGTCTCTTATTAAGAACTCCAGAAGCTGGCAGGAAATCAACATATTCTTTACAAAATAAAAAAAATTTTGATCTTTGATCTTATCTTCGATCGTAATCTACGATATAGTTTTTGTGTCGAATATTACTGCAAATCACATCGCTTTAAAGTTCTTTGGAAGTGTTTTGCAATTTTTATGTAGCTTCGCGGATTTTTATTCAACGGTGATGTACTATGCATCGCGAAATGATGGAAAGTCAGCAACAAGTGTCAGATTTTGAAAGCAGTTTTCCGGAGCGCATGTGATAGAATGAGCGATAGAATGATCGACGATATTCAAATTTAAATTGCAGGACTTACTTTTCGTGCTTCTTCTTGCGTAGAAAATTCGCAACACCGTGGTGGATAGTTCTTTCTTTTACAGAAAGAGAGACAGAAAGAGACGTAAAGACACCACTCGCAAAGCTGTATCGTGTATGGTGGTAAACTGACTCGTTCTACTGTGATTTATCTTCTTATAGCGGTGTCCCCACTCTAACGAGATATAAGTGTGAGCGAGTGAATTGAGGCGATGTTATTCTCCGTCCTTCTTCCTGACTGTTCGCTGGTGATGGTGAAAACCGCTTGAGTATGTACACACTCGGTGTCACGGATGCCTTCACCTTGCCTAGATAGGCATTTTCAGAGCAAACACGTCTAAAGTGATCTTGTATCATGACTATGTACGATTTAATCTATTAACCCTGCATTTGTAGCCGCAAACTTTCCTTTACATCAATTATACATATAAGAAATATAAGAAATTTATCTTTCTATTTTTTTTACATTGAATTAATAGTCGTTTATTTTATTTTCTTAAACATACAAGATATGTTTTATAATTATACATGAAACATAGCTGTCGTTCGAATTTTATCAGATAAAATTATGTAATCGTCATATGTTATTTGTTAGATCATACGTTTAATTATAGTAAATTATTATTATTGGCATAACATTTAATTGATTATACATATATTATTTTCGATATACGTTGGAATTAGAAAGTTTTGAAATTATTTACATGTCATTGCGTTTACATGTCAACACCTCTTTTTGTTATCAAAAAATTTATCGGTCATTAATAGGACTGTAATCAAACCGGTAATACTTATATGTTGATTAAAATAACTTATCTTATAAATCAGACATGTGTGGTGAATTATTATGATATATTTAAAAGTAAAAATTAATATATTTATTTATTTAATAACTCAAAATGTTTAACGTATAAAGGTTTATACATGAAGTAAATAATGCTTTTTTTGTAAAAAAAGTGAATATAACCATCATTATAGAACGTCATTATATTGTAAAATATAATCTGTCTTTTCAACCAACTTTAAAAGTATCTATAAGTTTGTAATATTAATAATAGTTTACTTGCATCGTAATTTCTCCCCCCCCCTCTCTCTCAACAAAAATTCATTTTTAAATGTTAAATTATGACAAATTAAAAATTATTTCTGTTATTTGTTCCTTCAATTTTGAAGACGGAAAAATGTCGATTTTAACGATGAACGAGCGCACGACTTTGTTCACCGATATCCGATACTTTTTCCGTTTGGAAATGAATCTCGAGTTTCTGAATACAAAATATAATAAAAAGTTTTCGTACTTTTACATTCATTTACATTAAATGCCACGGACACCGACATTACTTTATTCTTTTCTCTCCATAAAATATTTTGTCTCATTAGTAACATCGAAATCGCTAACGAGAAAGATATTTTCATAATATTAAGTGAAGCGGATAATTATTAAAATATTCGCTTGAAGTATAAATATTTTTTCTTTTAATAAGAAGTAAAATATCAAGATTAACATGAAGAAGGAAGATAATCAAAGATTAAGATTAGAAAAAAAATTTGATATCTTGTTACTAGTGCTATCGTGAATCAATAGCGCTTGGCAGGGGTAAGCCTTTCGATATTATTATTATTAAAATTACGACGAAATTTGTCGACGATAAAATCAAAGTTGCTGTTAAATCATCGCGTGTGTTCTATATGTCAAACTATAAAAAGGCAGGAATTATCGTGTCATACATATTCATAAAAGAGCATGTAGCGCAAAATATATTTATTTTCCATCATTGCGTGGGGTCAACGGGGGGCGTATAGCAGCGTGGAATGATGCAACTGCTGCTGGGGGTCCGATACGGCAATAAATAATCGTATTACAGCGAAATATCTCACATGACTCGCTGCTGTTGCAATTGCATCACGCATTCTTTTTCATTCTTTCTCTCTTTTCCCCGTTCTTCACTTTCCCTCGCGCAACCACTCTCTCACGTAAACAACTCAATCCTCGTTGCTTCCTCGACGACTGATAACGCGAATGCCACACGATGAGAATGTGGACCCCCCGCTATCGTCTAGTACAGTAACGTCTACGGAGCAAAGTATCAAATTTTGAAATGCTAATCACAATTCAGTCATTAAGATAGAAATTAAAATAAAAAACATTTTATAAAAGAGAAGCAATTCAAACTTGAATAAAAATGAGATTTTTGTAGACTGAAATAAAACCATATTTTAGGATGGTTTTTTTAGCCAAGCTCTATTTGTAATTTAAAATAGGTGACTGATTATTGATATCTCAAATTGTTAGTGCAGTGTACGAGGTATATTTATAAACCGCGTATATTACGGTGGATATTTGTATTTTTCGCAACGTTAAAATTGCGGTTCATAAGTATACTGCATTTTTCTGCAATTATTTATATGACAATATTTTAAAAATATAATAAAATTACAATTAATACGATAAAAGTAAAATATAAAACATATTAAAACATTCCAAAAACATGAAAATATTCTCGATGTGTCTAATCTCAGTTTCATCAATAATCAATTTTTTCTCGTTTCTCTCAAAATAGCGCATTTATGAATTTTTTAATTGCGTGATTCGTTTACATAAAAAAAACGGGGATAGTAATTTGCGAAAATATTGTTTTTCTGCATCACGCGTTAATTAAAATAAAGCGTGAAGCTTGTGCGTCACGCGGAACACAGATACTTGACGAGCGTCATCGAGAAGCAAGAAATCATTTGACTTCTGGTACCCCCAGCGGACTAAATTATCTTATCAACGTGGAAAATAACTCCATCGCAACTCAGCTCGTCTTCATGACGTGACATTAGGTCGCGGTTCGACTAGAAAACATCAATTATACTTTTCTACCCAGTTTTGTCAGATATAAGCGATTCTTTTAATTTCCGACAAAATATGGGTCGTTATCTGACCGCGTGTGTGCCAGCACAACGAACAGGCGCGATCAGCTCGTTTTAACCGGATCGAGCGGTGATTAATTCGGCTCTTCGTTTAATTATGTCTCTAGTAAGTCCAAGTCCGCGGCTTGCGTCTTGAATGCGTCGATTATTTTAATTAAGCTTTCCGAGAAGCTCGCGATAGTGACATAATAAACGACGTTAATCATAAGCGGAAGAGCATTCTGTGATACTCATCTTTTTTCTACTGATATAGGTTATATTGTTAAAAATATCAAAAACTTATATAATACTTATATAATACAATAACTTATATAATTTACACATTTAAAACACTTATAAATTTTACACAATTTAAAAAAATTATGTATTTACAATGTTGGGAAATAAAGTTTACTAAGCTTTCTTTTCAGAAAAGAATTCTTCTTTCTTCGATTCGATCACTTGATACAATCTTGATAGTCTGATGATTAATATTTGAATATTTTTGCTTCAATATTATACAGATGATGCAAATCTAAAATTGTTCCACTGTAAAAAGGCGTAAAATTTTAATTAAGTTTATCTTTTAATATTAAACATATATGTAATTTTGCTGTTCTTTTAATCCTAAACTTCATCCAGATAGTTCGTAAATAAATTTTTGATATCTGCAATAAAATAATGGAATCTAATTTTATTTACATTTTTGAGCAATAGTATTTTAACTTACAGTTTACAATTTTATTTCTTTTATATAATAAATAAATCTCGAGGTAAAAAAAATAAAAACTAGAAAATAAAAAAATTATTATTAAATAAAGTTAATAAGGCTCTACCGATTGAAAAATCACAAAATAAGATTAAAAGAGCTTAAAGAGTCAACGTTAAGTCTTAGTGCGGAACAGCTATATTCTATTATAAAAACATGATGTACACCAACATTTCAGCCTGTCATCAGGCCATCTTCAGTGTCAAATAAATAAATAAAGTTAATATAAACGTACATTGATCATTACAATAACATGTTCCATTAAACAATATAAATTATATAATACAAAATAAAAACGTGCTTTAGAACGAGTATAATAAAACGCAATAGTTCGCTTGTATTGCATTAGATAGAGAAGGTAAAAGAGTTAAAACTGAAATTAATTTATATGGCCATTATTTATATGTTGTTCGAATTATAAAAAGTAAAAATTGACTGAAAATATTTTTTAATTTTTTAAGCTCTTTTAATCTTATATAAAAAACATTATCTTCTAGAATGTTGATAAAATGAGTTAAAATTTATCAAATTATTTTATAATTTACATAATGATTTATGATAAGAATGCTCATTACATAAATTATACAGAAAAAATGAGTTTCTCTGTATAATATGGATCTTTTAATATTTCTTAAAATGCTGCATTAAAAAGAAGAGAAAGGAGAATTAATATAAAGGAAATATTATTTTCCATTCACAAGTTATTAAAAAGTAAGGAAAATTTAAATAAGAAATATCTTCTGCGCAAGTTTACAGAAGAAGCGCAAGTATCGAACGGAAATTGATCATTACTCGATATCTTATAGGGATTTTCAGTCTGCTGAGAAAAACGTTACTCGGCGTGCGGGGCGCAGTGAGTAAGTATCACAAAATGTGTTTTGCTTGTATTTCTTGCTACGAGTCGATCTCGTAGCGTTTGTCGTATCTTACTTCGCAATTCCCGGACATTTTCTCAAGGGAGATCTCTTCGTCTTGACCGAAAACCCTGTGGTTCTCCTTTTCTCTCAATGATCACGGACACGCGGTTGAGTTTTCCGCGTTATAAAACGCTTCGGCTTATTTTTCGAGCTTTTCCCTCTGAACTCTTGAAAATCTCCTAGGGATGATTGATGTCTCTGCGTCACTTTGGAAACCTATATGCTATTAATAATATTGTAAAATATCGAATCTCGATTGAGATTTGATAAAACGATTTTAAAACGCAGAATATTTTATTGCTTATGTAAGCCCAGATAGCAAAATATTTCTAGAAATGATTTACTCAATTGAGAATATTGTCCAATTATTGGTCTAATTGTATGTCAGTAAATTAGGGCAATTTTATGCCAAATCAAAATAAGGAATAAATTCTCTCAGTTATTGCTCAATTCTATATCAATTAATTTTTAGACGGGAATCGTTACAATTATAGCTCTACAGTGAATCAATGTAATATAAGGTACGAATATCTCAATTCTGTATCAATCATGAGAC